CTGCCATAGCAAAGATGAGGCCGATAACGTTGCAGTCAATAAAGAAGCTGAAGGGGAAATAGTTCTTGGTATCTTGCTAAACCTTGTGCAATAATAGTTTATTATTTGACGTGAAAAGAATTTGTTTTGCAAGGTTTGATAAAAACCCGGTTTTATGAAGAGGTTGTCTGTGTCTACTTCATTTTGCGTCCATTTATTTCACAGGTTAACTACATACATGTACGCGCTGCGTGCCTATTTTCCTTTATAGATATGGATGTCTGTGCTAAAGAAACATGTCAAAATAATGGTACTTGTACAAGTGTTGGATCTTCGTATAAATGTAACTGCACATCTGGTTTCAATGGAACGAATTGTGAGGGTAAGCATGTTTTGTTAATTTTACACTCATAAAATTTTTTACTCGTGTTTTGGAGGCCACTAGTCTAGGTTTCGGCTTTTGTATGTAGTTAAATGAACTTTGTTCACCCAAAATGCATTGCATTGTAGTTTTGAAAATGTACACAAACAAATACGTAGAATGATACGTATGATACGAATGATACAAATACGGATAAACAAACAAAGACTATGACGTTTAACATGAATACTTATACATTTTATTAACTTGTCATTTTGCGAAACTAAGAATATCTAAAGGAAGTCCAGACAGTCCATGCTTTAATGACGGACATCTTTACTCATTAGAACGATGATGCCTAAATTTTTCCTTATTTTCAGACAGTAAAGTGCTCCTCAAGATGTTTCAAATGGAAGAAATAGATTGTCTTTCAACACAAACATTCATCTTCACCTTTTATATTAATTCTTTCAGACTGACCACTCCAAAACCGGCGAATCAAATTCTATTTGTATATTCTGCCATCGATGTTAGCAATAATTGGGAGAGTTTGAATTAAAGCGAGGGGTGTCCAGCATGAGGGGTGTCCAGCTTTAGTAACGTTATAGATACCACAAACTATTTGACATGTTAATATGGATTAGCTTCTATTGGACGCTCAAATGTGTGAATCTTGCGTCAATAGCGAGTAACACTAAAAAAGAAATTTATTTTACATTTGACTTAATAAAGTTACGAAAAGGAATTGCAGTACGCTGGCAGAGTATTGCAATATCTTTGAATTATATTCGGTCTATTTGAACTAGAGCTGATTACCGTATCATTCAATTAAGCATTCGAAATTAAACATTTATATTAGTTCTTTTATTGTACCTATACGTAATTGGCACTGTTATAACATTGAGGGATGTTATAAAAGTGTCTTCTTGTAGCAGTTAAAACATTGTGAATACAAAACATTTTCTCATAAAACTACTTGAAATATCTGACAGCAATTTAACGTCAACATCGAAGAAAGCCTTTCCTGTAAATGTAAAATGTTTGCAGTTAACAGCTGTCTTCTGCTGATCATCGTAAACTACAAGTTTTGACAGAATTTAACAGATCTTCTGCAAACACAGGTCGTACCACATACACAAGCTTCATTAAGTTTGTCATGATTGTATTTTCGAATTATTATTACAGTTGTTCTTACATGACAACAGTTACCGATCAAAAATGCGGTATTTGTTTGTTTGTTTGTTTTTCTGATCGTTTGTTCTGTCAAGCCACTAACTTTATGTTTAGTATTTTTCAGATACCGAGAACGAGAACATGCAATAACTGCAAGTCAGGCTGTAAGTGTTTGTATTATTCATGAAATCAAACAGCTTTGTTGCTCGTGTCTCTTTTATAACGACGTTGCCTACCGTTTAGCTAGAAGGACGTTTCTTATGGTAAGTTTAATAAATTGTTTTTACTTGGTTTTACACTGAGTATCATCATGTGAAGATAGCATTTTTTAGGAATACAAAATCTTTGATTTAAATATTTTAATCGGTGTTTGCCGATGATCAATTAAAACGTTTGATTATGCCAAAACTATAAATATCAAGAGCAAAGTCACATCTAAACACACTAGCACAAAAATATTCACATAAAGGAATAATTCCCGTCTTCTAAATTAAATTAGAGAGCTCCCTCACTCTCTAATTTTGGAATGAAGTTCTTCAAAAATTCATTGTATTCCAAAATAGAGTTCTGCCACCTATTTTGAAATACTTTAGCACAAAAATTTCACAAATCGTACACTTGATAATCTTAGCATTTTTTGAAATCTTACGAGTCATCCTGTCCTGCTATTAAGCAGTCCATCCAACTTAACTAAAGACAGTGACATTGCTTGGGGAAGTGAATTTTAACATCTTCAGCTGTGCCACACTGAATTCTGCGGGAAAAACATTTCACGTTCCAAAGAAATGAGTTGGGAGCAAAAGAATTTATGAATACACACCTCAACTAATTAACATTCTAGCAACGTCCCTGTCCACTGTCACAGTTCGTGGAAGTTTGAATTATTATCCATTTATTTTATAATAATAATGATGGTGGTTATAATAATCTTTTTTAAATCTCACGGAATCCTTTTGAGATTTATAAGCAATCATTGACAGTGATATTTTGTTAATTTTGAATTGAATCAATATGAGCTACTTGTATTTTTCATAGGAATAACTTCACATTACACCGTTGACACCAACGTTGAAAAACTGTTAAGTTGACAAAACGCAAGGTTTACAAAAACGATCGTTTGAAGTAGGTAGTAAGACTTTCAATGATTGACCTCACAGGAAAATTCTCACAAATAAAAACCATGTATAATTAATTGGGATGAAACTCGTGTTTTCAAGAAGCACATTTGAATTAGCTAATGCATAAAAATGACAACCTTCAACTTCCGTGTAAGTGAAAATAATGTAATAATTTAAAATGTGCGTCAAAGTTCTTTCATTTCAACCTGTAAAATGTACAATATTATCCATTAATTTTTTCCTCTTATAACCCTTCATAATTTAAAATATAGTTTATAAAGTTCCAACTTCGTACCCTAGAGCGCAATGTAAAGAGACTGGGTACGAAATTGACAGAGTGATAATGATCCAGCGAGCAAAGAAATTGTTTTAAATTCACTTCCTCTAGTTCTTGACACATGTTGTATCACGGATTAATGATAGCGTTTGATTCTAGAAATAAAACTCTGTGTTTCTATTACTTTGTAATATTTTTATTGGCATTTTATTAAGCGTCAAGTCGTGCAATTTTAAATCTAGGAGGGCAGAAAATAATATGAAAAATGTATTGGTATACTCGCATTAATGTTGTGCATGAGTAACCTCATGATATTGTGACACAAATCTACGAAGGCTTTAAGCAATGTACACATAAGTTTTCTTAAGAGCAGCTGATACCACGAGTGATTTGTTGTTGTTGTCGTCTTCTTGTCGAGCAGCAGACGTTAAAATAATAAAGTTATGGTGTGAGGTATAGCTTCATGATACATCAAAGATGTGGATTCACATGCAAATTTAGGTAACAATTTGGAATTTTTAGCCTTTAAGTAATAAACCATTGTTTACAAGCATAGTATATTAAAATATTTTTAATAAATCTGTATTGTGTTGCAGTTCAAGGGGTTGCTAATGGCCTAAACCTCCGGTACTCTTCATGTTAAACCAGGGCCCACTGAGCTAAGATTTTTTCACTGCTACGACACTTATTTCATGTATCTCACTTCTGATCTTGAGTGCAACTTGACATCACACTATAATTACAATCGCACTGCATCTTTCTTCGAATGAATGTAAAAAAATCCCGGAGATTTAACATCCAAATAAAATTATCTGTACGCAATTTGAAAATGTTTATATGTATATTCTATTTGATATTCTAACACATGGAAAATAGTTCACACAAACGTTAGTTTCATTTGGTGTTTCATGATGGCCTTAAATGTCTTTACGGCAAAAGCCAGTAGAAAACGCATAGAGCTACAGAGAAGAGACACTAAATTTTCAAAATAATGTTACTTTTTGCTCTTATGTGGCATAGAGATCAAATAAAAACATGCATCTATTTATATATTCAAAGCAATTTTTGTTGTTATTTTCAAGATGTTTCTATTATGAAATCATGATTAAGCATTTCAGTAGAGTTATCTTCATCAATATTCAATCGTGTATTCAAATCATAAGTAAAGTCAACGTGTCACTTCATTTGAATAAGTGTGACATAATTTGCACTGATTTTAAATGTACGTATGCGGCAACAATTATTAGTTGCAACTTGCAAATTACAACGTTGTCTAGCTGTTTTGTGAGAGAAACTGATGTTTGTATGACATTCATTGTTATAGCTAGTAAATTGTGGAAGAACCTGTCTTTCTACTTGAGAAAGCTGTCTCCTCTCAAAAGTGTTGAAATGCGGGATGCTATTGATTTATAGAATATTTGCGATCTTACTTATTATGCAAATAGCGAATTTATTTTAATATATTGCAGACAACTGTCAATTTTTTATGTAAAGCAAGGTAATTCTGCAAATTTAAAGATAATTCTAATTCAGCCCTTGTAATGAAATGTGTTTAATAATAACACTGATGTCGAATTATGTCCTTTTGAGAGAATTCCATCAATATCACATGCTTTTGTAGACATACGCAGAAGCAGTTTGATTAGCAAAAATGGGCGACTCAAATCTGATTATCTTAGTAATGAATACGAAACTTTTTTACGTTAAATACAAATGATTTGATAAAAATCTTTTACTAGCAATCTGGCAAACTTAGAAACGGCGCACTAAAACCTTCAATGTCGAGTCCTTCTTATCAAAATGTGAAAGCGTTGAAAATTTAGTAGCGGTAATAAAGACACCTCGCAAACACAGAAAGAACAATAGAAAGTTTGTGAAAGACTCTTTATTGGATCTTTAACATGTCTGGTTCCTTCAGCAATTTTTCTTTAAAACTTAATTTTGAAAACAAAAACTCTTTGCGACACAAAACGCGTCTGTAGCAAAATACCTGTAGACATGTACACACATGAATCTGTAAAAATAAATAATAGAAAACACTGCCCAATTAATAGGAAGCACTGTTATACTTTAGCTAATGCAAATTTATGACAGAGCATATAAAAGAACAGACAACTTTCCTCACCAACGTTAAGAAGACGATGCGACAGGCTTAAATGGATGTAAGAATGCACGAAAATCCATTCAATCAATCTGAGCAATAAAGCATTTTTCTAGCTTGCGGCCATTAAATAAAGCGTAAATAGTAAGCAAACAAGAACATAAGAAAATCAGTAGCAGATTGACATTGTTTGTTTTATAAAATATGAGGCCTTTCTTGGTGTTTCTTTTCATCTTGTTATTGCTTGCCTTCGAAGGAAATTGTTGGCGGCGACGTAGACGTAGACGTTGGTGGCGACGGAGAAGACGTTGTCCTGCATCAAATTGTGGTGTTAGTCATTGGTCCAGCTGGAGTTCTTGTAGTCATCAATGTGGTCTTTCAGGTGTACAGACACGAACAAGAAAAAAGACTAGGACAGAAAGTTGTGGCGGAAGTTGTCCGTATAGTTTTACGCAAACAAGAGCGTGCAACAGAAATAATTGTGGCAATAGAGGATGGTCATGGTATGGTAGATGTATCTGCAATAGTTGTTGGACAGGAACATGTTGCCACATAGGTAGGTGTTATGATAATATTTCAACTTGCCTTGCACTGAGCATGAAAGGATGGGCATTAATTCCTGGCTTCAAATTATGGCGGGAGTTAGCTTTCCAGTTATACTCAGTTCAATGTTTCAATTATCCTTGATTACAGTCAAAAACATTTGCGGCTTTTCTATAACCAGAATTACACTTTCAAACACTTTCTGTCATGTCATAATCCTGAATATGCCTTTTCATAACTCTGAAGCACACGCGATCTCGTCATAACAGCTCATCAGGTCCGAAACGTGAGTATAAACTTTGAGGGGCGATGAATTATTTTGAAAATTATAAAGTACAATACAAACACTCAATAATATTCAATTCTTTTTTTTTTTTTGTACGTGTTTGTTTAGGAAAGTTAATCCAATTTTCTCTTGCATACTTTGATACTAACTTAGCTCTTAAAATAATGTTTTGAGCTAATAAAGTTATACGTCATATTTCCTTATCACATATTTATATTATCCTTTGATTTTTTGTTTGCTTTGGAAGTTACGCTCCCGCATCTCATGCATTACTATAAAAATATAAATTGCACTTAACTACAAAAAGCAGAACAAAAAATTTATAATGTTTCAGTAAAAATATAACACGTACTCAGCACTCATATATCTAAGTATTATCTAAAATTAATCTGAACATTGAAATAAAACAAATATTTTTTAATCAAGCTCGTCGAAGAAATTGTCTCGTCAGCAGTTGGTCCAGTTGGAGTTATTGTAGTCATCAATGTGGTCGTTTAGGTGTACAGACACGAACAAGACACAAGAGTAGGACGGAAAGTTGTGGCGGAAGTTGTCTGTATAGTTTTAAGCAAACAAGAGCATGCAACAGAAATAAATGTCGAAATAGAGGATGGTCATGGTATGGTAGATGTATCTGTTATAGTGGTTGGACAGGAAAATGTTGCAACAAAAGTAGGTGTTATGATGTTATTTCAACTTGCTGTTCGCCGTGCATTGAAATATTGGGATTAGCTATACTCGCTTCAAACTATGGTTGGGTAATAACCATCTATATAATTATTCATTTCAAAATAATAACCAATATTACAGTTTCAAACATTTGCCACGTTGTCGTATAACCGTGATTATAATTTCAAGCTCTAGTGGTCTCCTCATAACTGCGATTAAATTTTTAAGAAAATATGTTGTACTTGTATACTAAAGACAGAAATAGAAAAAATGTATTGTGTTTCAGTAAAATTGTAACACCTGCTCGTATATCTAAGTATTGGGCAAATTTTACTTGGACATTGAACTACAACAAATAATTTTTTTTCAAGGGCGTCCAAGAGATTGCGTAGTTAGTCGATGGTCCAGTTGGAGTTCTTGTAGTCACCAATGTGGTTATGCTGGTGTACAGACACGAACAAGAAGAAAGATTAGGACAGAATCTAATGGCGGACGTTGTCCATACAGTTTACGCAGAACAAGAGCATGCAACAGAAATAAATGTCGCAATAGAGGAAGACCAACCTATAGTAGATGTATCTGTTATAGTGGTTGGAAAGGAAAATGTTGCAACGAAAGTATGTGTTGTGATATTATTTTACTTTGTCTTACGCTGTCCGTGGGAGGATTGAGACTAATGAAATCAATTTCTTCAAACAGTGGCGTGGGAGGGAGGTAGCCAACCAGATATATTCTGTTCAATGTAATAGCCACAATTACAGTTTCAAATATTTACTACTTGTTATTACTATTTTTTATAACTCTTATTATAAATTAAATAACGAAGTTGCGGTCAATAATAAAGCTGAGGGGGGAATAATTCTTGATATCATGCTCAACCATGTCTACTTCATTTTGCGTCCATTTATTTGACAAGCCAACTACATCCATGTACGCTCTGCGTGCCTTTTTTTTCTATTTAGAGATGGATGCTTGTGCTAAAGAACCATGTCAAAATAATGGTACTTGTACAAGTGTTGGATCTTCGTATAAATGCAACTGTACATCTGGTTTCAATGGAACGAATTGTGAGGGTAAGCATGTTTTGTAAATTTTCCATTCATAAAATTTTTTACTTGTGTTTTGGAGGGCTACGAGTGTATGTTTCGGCTTTTGTAAGTTATGAAATAAACTTTGTTCACCAAGAGTGCATTGCCATCGTTTTGAAAATGTATACAAACAAATAAGAAGAATGAAAAATATATTTGCGCCCAAAACGCGTAACAGCATAATGCACGTTTATGCATTTTAATTTTATGCATATGAACTCATCAAACATGCCTTCAGTCATTTCGTTGATACTTTTTGTTCTACTAATGAATTACACATGTTTTCAATTTCATTTGAACATATGAATCTACACCATATTGCATTTAGTTATGATCAACTCATCGTATAAAGAGTGCAGAGAGTATCAATTGTTGAGCAACATTACCAGAAATGTTGAATATCGTCATGGTGGAAGTTTACAATGTGACAGACGTCTCACAAAAGGATGGTACAGATTTGGTGGTGGAGCTGGAACCAAAATGTCTGAATCCTGCGTTCCAAAAAATCGATGTGGCACGCATGCCCCTGGATGGTTAAATGGAACTCATCCCACTGTTGATGAAGGAAATGTGACCAGAAAAGTCTGCTATCATTGGCGTAGTAAATGTTGCTTATGGTCAAATGCTATTAACGTCATAAACTGCGGTCCATATTTTGTTTACAATTTAGGTACTACTCCATTCTGCTATTTAAGGTATTGTGGCACAGACTAAAACACAGCAATTGTGTTGGACATTTACGTAGTCGTACTGAGCTTATTCTTATCCTACATCGCGCACGAATAATATGATTTATAGAATTTAGGTTAAACCTACTTAGCTTTGTGAAATTTATTTCTTGTATTTTTATTAATTGCACGTTAGACCATTAAAGTTTTTGCATAAAATGTATTGTTGTGGATGGATAAGAGTTTAAAAATCGTCGATTTTTTTATATGAGGAATGTTAATGAATAATGTATTGGTTTTGCTATGTTATGAAAAATTGAATTCGTCTGTCTGAAAGATATGTTATTGGGAAAACGTAATTTCTTAAATGTAGTATTCGGGATCTTTTTCAGCTTTGGATTTTACTTGACCATCAAATTTAGTCTATGGTTGTACGCCAAAATTTTAGTGTCAGGCTGTATGTCGATTTTTCTGTGTAAGATATAACATCTACTGTAGAGGCGAAAATTGCCATATTTGGAACATAGGATTGTATGCATTCAGATACTGAAATGTCTATTGACACCTCCGTCCTTTGCAAAAACTATTTCATACATGTGATGCACATTCAGTCATGTCCCTCAAAATGAAACATCATCTTCACATCAACATATTTAATTCTTTTGCTTTGGTTGTACTTAAGTGTGTATCATATAAAGTTCATAATGAAGATTCACGCACGAATATGTATGAAAATAGAAAAGTTCGTATTCGGCCATTTTGTTGTGATTGTATTTATAACGCAAGAAGTTTGCGATTGCTCGTTGTTGTTTTTTTTTGTTTAAAATACCTAAACTGAAAAGAAAATGAGAAGCTCAGGATATGCTAAAAACGGAAATTTTATTGAAATCGCCATGAAGCAGTGGTATAATAACGACAAAGACGAGAGGTTTCTACAAATCATTATCTGCCACGGATGTGAATCAATTAATGTTACATTGCAATGAATATTTCGATGATGGTGATAGCAAGTCCGAAGATGTCTACAACAGTGGTGATAATGGCTGGAAATAGAAGAAAAGGAAGTGCTACTTTACTCAAAAAATAATTTATAAACTTTTGCCATTGTCATGTAATTAACCATGAAAACACCGTTAAACATATCTCATAACCACTCAACACGTGTGTGTGAAGATGCTCTTAACATGTTGAGTCTACAATTTTGAGCGCATTTTTAGTGAACATGTTCATTGCGTTTGCACGTACTTAAAAGCTTTATAATTTGAACCATTTGAAGCAATTTGCATATGTGGTAACTAAACTATTCCTGAATGTTGCTAAGGTAGCTAAGCTTTTTCTGTATGTCTCAGTATCTAAATAATAATATTCACTGAACTTATGGTTAATTTTTTTTGTACATCTTGTTGCACTTACCTAGAGAATACAAACGACAAAATATTTCTACCTTTGTGTATGCGTTTGTGTCTAGTTTCTGTCTTCTTTTTTGTTAACCTCTTTATGCATCTTTTAGTGTACATTTACGTGTATCTTCTTTTCTACCTTTGTGTCTATCTTAATGTCCATATTTTTGTGTACGTTTCTGTCTATTTGATGTCAACCTTAATTAGGGGGAGGTGATTCTTCATGTATTCTGTTTTGCTCGACTAATTTCTTGGAAAGCATTTTACTGAAGGTAATTAGGCAATCGTACATTTAAAAAAAGTTGCCGACACATCTGAATACATGAATAAACGGCTTTGTGCTTTACATGTCTTTTCGTTTTCTTGTCTTTTTTTTTATCTACCCATTTTTTCTACCTTGCTGTCTATCTTTGTGTCTATTTTTATGTCTATCTTTTTGACTACCTTTGTTGTCTACCTTTGTGTTTATCTTTTTTGTATAAGTTTGTGTTTTCCTTTATGTGTACCTTAATGTCATCTATGCGTTTATATTTTTGTCTACCTTTTTGTCCCTTTGTTTGTGTCTTTTGTCTACATATTACGTTATGGCCACCATGCTGGATTATTTTAGCAAAGCATTTTGCTTATTTAGAATGCAATGTCTTCCAATAGCACAAAAATTCCATTGTTTTCTCTTTCCTGGGGGAATTGTTGCACACTATCCAGATAAATGTGCTTTGAAATTGAGTTACTTGAACTTCATCTCTTTCATTACCCTTGAACCAATCTTATATTCTGATCATGTGGGTGGATATAGATCATATATTTTTGAACAACTTACCTGCATGCTGTTTTCGCATTGGTTTTTGTCGAGTGTGTATGCCTAACTTCAGTAGTCTAGATATTCGATGTTTTGATGAAAAGTTTGGAAAAGCTATTGGTAATAACGGTAAAGCAAATGATCGACGTTCAGTGTATTTTGAATAGATCGCGGCCACATGTGAAATTACTGCATGCTTCTAGTGTGATTAGGGAGAAGAGAAGTTCTGTGTCAATCTTAATTAAGGTGGATAATGAAAAATTGATAAATCGTTTGGAAGACCTTGGTATCGAAGCATGAATTCGTAGTAGCAATACATAAATTTAGAGTTTACATCTCACGGAATCTGTTTAAGATTTATAAGCAACCATTGACAGCGATATTTTGATAATTTTGAATTGAATCAATAAGAGCTGCTTGTGTTTTTCATAGTAATAATTTCACATTACACAGTTGACACCAACGTTGAAAAACTGTTAAGTTGACAAAACGCAAGGTTTAAAAAAACGATCGTTTGAAGTAGGTAGTAAGACTTCAAATGATTGATCTCACAGGAAAATTCTCACAAATAAAAACCATGTATAATTATAATTAATTGGGATGAAAATCGTGTTTTCAAGAAGCACATTTGAAATAGCTTATCCACAAAAAGACAGCATAAAACTTTAGTGTAAGTGAAAATAATGTAATAATTTAAAATGTGCGTCAAAGTTCTTTCATTTTAACTTGTACAATGTACAATACTATCCATTCATTTTTGCCTCTTATAACCCTTCATAATTTAAAATATAGTTTATAAAGTTCCAACCTCGTACCCAGGAGCGTAATGTCAAGAGCCTGGGTACGAGATTGACAGAGTGTAATGATCCGGCGAGTTAAAGAAATTGTTTTGAATTCACTTCCTCTAGTTCTTGACACACGTTGTATCACAGATTAGTGATAGCGTTTGATTCTAGAAAAAAACACTGTGTTTCTATTACTCCGTAATATTTTTATTGGCTTTTATTAAGCGTCAAGTCGTGCAATTTTAAATCTAGGAGAGCAGACAAAAATAAGAAAAAATGTATTGGTATACTCGCATTGATGTTGTGCATCAGTAACCTCATGATATTGTGACACAAATCTACGAAGGCTTTAAGCAATGTACACATACGTTTTCTTAAGAGCAGCTGATACCACGAGTGACTTGTTGTTGTTGTCGTCTTCTTGTCTAGCAGCAGACGTTCAAATAATAAAGTTATGGTATGAGGTATAGCTTCATGATACATCAAACATGGGGATTCACATGCAAATTTAGGTAACAATTTGGAATTTTAAGCCTTTAAGTAATAAACTGTTGTTTACAAGCATTGTATATTAAAATATTTTTAATAAATCTGTATTGTGTTGCAGTTCAAGGGGCTGCTAATGGCCTAAACCTCCGGTACTCTTCATGTTAAACTAGGGCCAACTGAGCTAAGATTTTTTCACTGCTACGACACTTATTTCATGTATCTCACGTCTGATCTTGAGTGCAACTTGATATCACACAATAATCACAATCGCACTGCACTTTCTTCGAATGAATGTAAAAAAATCCCAGAGATTTAGCATCCAAATAAAATTATCTGTACGCAATTTGAAAATGTTTATATGAATATTCTATTTGATATTCTAACACATGGAAAATAGTGCTCACAAACGTTAGTTTCATTTGGTATTTCGTGATGGCTTTAAATGTCTTTACGGCAAAAGCCAGTAGGAAACACATAAAGCTACAGAGAAGAGACATTAAATTTTCAAATTTTGGTAACTTTTAGCTCTTAAGTGGCGTAGAGATCAAATAAATACATGCATCTATTTATATATTCAAAGCAATTTTTGTTGTTATTTTTAAGATGTTTCTATTGTGAAATCATGATTAAGCATTTCAGTAGAGTTATCTTCATCAATAATCAATCGTATATTCAAATCATAAGAAAAGTCAACATGTCACTTTCATTTGAATAAGTCTGACATAATTTGCACTGATTTTACAAGTACTTGTGTGACTACAGTTATTAGTTGCAATTTGCAAATAACAACATTGTCTAGCTGTCTTGTGAGAGAAACTGATGTTTGTATAACATTCATTGTTGTAGCTAGTAAATTGTGGAAGAACCTGTCTTTCTACTTGAGAAAGCTGTCCTCCTCTCAAAAGTGTTAAAATTCGGGATTCTATCGATTTATGGAATATTTGCGATCTTACTTATTATGCAAACAGCGAATTTATTTTAATATATTGCTGACAACTGTCAATTTTTTATATAAAGCAAGGCACATCTGAAAATTTAAAAATATTTCGAATTTAGCCCTTAAAATGAAATATGTTTAATAATAACACTGATGTCGAATTATGTCTACAAAAGAATATCAATATCATATTCTTTTGTAGACATACGTAGAAGCAGTTTGATTAGCAAAAATGTGTGACTCAAATCTGATTATCTTAGTAATGATTATAAAACTTTTTTACGTTAAATACGGATGATTTGATAAAAAATTTTACTAGCAATCTGGCAAACTTAGAAACGGCGCACTAAAACCTCCAATGTCGAGTCCTTCTTATCAAAATGTAAAAGCGTTGAAAATTTAGTAGCGGTAATAAAGACACCTCGCAAACACAGAAAGAACAATAGAAAGTTTGTGAAAGACCCTTTATTGAATCTTTAACATGTCTGGTTCATTCAGCAATTATTTATTAAAATTTTATTCTGAAAACAAAAACTCTTTGCGACACAAAACGCGTCTGTAGCAAAATACCTTTAGACATGTACACACATGAATCTGTAAAAATTAATAATAGAAAACACTGCCCATTTAGTAGGAAGCATTGTTATGCTTTAGCTAATGCAAATTTATGACAGAGCATATGAAAGAACAGACCACTTTCTTCACCAACGTTAAGAAGACGATGCGACAGGCTTAAATGGATGTAAGAATGCACGAAAATCCATTCAATCCATCTGAGCAATAAAGCATTTTTCTAGCTTGCTGGTATTTTAGATTAGCAAGTAAATATAAAGTGACATAGTAAAATCTGCAGCAGATAAATATTGCTTGATAAAAAATGAGACTTTTCATGTTGTTTGTCATCGTTGTGATAGTGCATGATGCATCGTGCTGGTGGTGATAGTGCATGATGCATCGTGCTGGTGGTGATAGTGCATGATGCATCGTGCTGGTGGTGATAGTGCATGATGCATCGTGCTGGTGGTTTTGGCGACGTAGAAGACGACGAACTCGACGACGTTATTGTCGTACACCTGGTTCTTGGTCGAGCTGGAGTTCTTGTAATCATCATTGTAGAAATGCAGGAGTACAGATACGAACTAGAAAATTAACTTCATCTAAATGGATTTACGGAAGCTGTCCACGTTATAATTTACGGCAAACAAGGCCATGCAACAGAAATAATTGTCGCAATGGAGGAAGACAAACCTATGGACGTTGTATTTGTTCAAGCTGTTACACAGGAACGTGCTGTGAAAAACGTAGGTTTTAAATAGCATGCGTGCGTGGAAAGATTAGAGTTAATCATTGACTTTAAATTACTGCGGAAGGTAGCCCTTCAATTGCATTCAGCACAGTATACTAGTCTCACTTCACTGTGCAACTTGCTGCTGTATATTTATTTCGAATACTGGCTGCGGCAAGCCACTCAAGCGCTTCTATTGGTCAGAAAATGCAATTTACTGGCTGCCACTATGTTAATTACATGCGCAATAAGACATGCGCTTAACAAAATGGTGTATAGAGTGGTACTACTGTTTGTTTTTTTACTGTATTATTCAGTTCAGAGTTATTCTTAATCCTTATTACAGTTTCAAACATTAGCTAGGTAGCTTATAGGAGGTAGCTTATACAATTTTATGAAAATTTAATGTACTTGTCTACTAAAGACCGAAATAAAACAATGTATTCATGTTTCTGTAAAACGTAACACTTGCACATTTATCTGAGTGTTGAGTAAAATTTATCTGAACATTGAAAAACAACAATATTTTTTTTTGAAGCACGTCGAAGAAATTGTGTAGTCAGTTCATGGTCCAGCTGGAGTTCTTGTAATCACAAATGTGGAAATGCAGGTGTACAGACACGAGCAAGAAGAAAGATTGTGAAAGAAATTTGTGGGGGACGATGTCCATACAGATTACGCCAAAGAAGATCATGCAACAGAAATAAATGTCTCAGTAGAGGATGGTCGTCTTACGGTAGATGTATCTGTTACAGTTGTTGGAGAGGAAAATGTTGCAACATTAAAGGTAGGTGCTGTGTTATTGTTTTATCTTGCCTTGTGCAAGAAGATTGGGACTAATTATTGTTTTCAATTTATTGCGGAGGAATAGCGCTCCAGTTATATTCAATCCAATTTCATTAACATGATTACAGTTTTCAACATTTGCTACCTCATCAAAACCATGATTACAGTTTCAAACATTTACTGCCTCATTGCATATTACTGTCGCAATAGCTTCTTTATGCATTTTTATTAGAATGTTCTTTTATTGTCTACAAATAACAGGACGTAAAAAAATTTATAATGTTTCAGTAAAAATATGATACCTACTCAGCACTCGCGCATCTAAGTATTAAGTAAATAAATATTGAAATAAAACAAATATTTTTTAATCAAGCACGTCGAAGAAATTGTCTCGTCAGCAGTTGGACCAGTTGGAGCTCATGTAATCATCAATGTGGAAGTGCAGGTGTACAGACACGAACAAGATACAAGACTAGAAAAGAAAGCTGTGGCGGAAGATGTCCATACAGTTTACGCAGAACAAGAGCATGCAATAGAAATAAATGTCGTAATGGAGGAAGACCAACCTATGGTAGATGTATCTGTAGAAGTGGTTGGAAAGGAAAATGTTGTAACATCAGAAGTAGGTGTAGTGATACTTGATTTTAACAAAATAATTCATTCTTAAATTTTGATTATCGTGATATATGAATTCTTTACTACGCTCTGAAGAAGATCTTCATTAATTATTACTGAAAAAAGATGTTGACGATAAAAGGCTTATCTACTGTAACAAGACATCGTTAATACTGTGCATGTCAAGGGGCAAAGTTCGCAAAGGTTGCAGGACGCAACCTTTAGCAGACATGTTTCATATAACAAATTGATTGAACGAGAAAGCCTGAAAAGTACAGCATGAGCGAACATTTCCGGCTTGGCCTACCAAAGGCTTGAACCAATGAAAATCTTTGTTTGATTATCTCACCCACGTAAAGTAATGAGACATAATGTACATAAAATACTGCTGCAAGTCAAACTCTGTTCTTGAGTAGCCTGAGTGAACACCTAATTGGAGTCTTAATCGTTTTATACTGTACAAATTCCAACTGCTCGGTCTGTACAACAGCAAATCGATCTGATCTTTTTCAGTATTAAACCTCGAGCTTGGTAAAATAGAGCTTAATACCTCCACACATAAATAGACAATTTTAAAGATTAGTTTTCCATCTTCACGTTTAATGACCACGACATACTCTATGCGACATATATATGGCGCAAATGTTACAATTTCTGAAAAAGTCAGTGTTTCTGGAAAAATTGCGAATTTTGATGGTGTTTTTTCATTACTACTGTCAGCAAAAATTATGACAGTTAATTTTTGGGTTTTAACATGATCAAGGCAACCGGCATTTTCGGTTTGAGATATATCAATGAAGCTGTCTTATAATTTTCATTTAGTCGTTCTCTTTGCAAAAATGGTGGCTCATGTCTTGTTGATGGCAGATCATACAAATGCATTTGTCTTCCAGATTTCATTGGTGTTCACTGTGAAAAGGGTAAATTTTCAAACTTATAATTTGTTATAAGACTTCAAAGTCGATATATTTTGAAAGTTTATGAAAACAAGTGATTGAAAATCATGAAATAATTGTAAATGCTTGCAGTACAGTACTCATGTGGTTTAAGATGGAGACGAACCACAAATCACAATACCATGTAAAACTAAAATTTAATAGGCTCTAACATCATTACCTATATACAGACACATACCTTTTAAATACATTATATTCATTTTAATATACGTCCACTATTTATAACTGCTTCTTCAGGTAACGAAGGCTTTCTCTGTTTTAGTGGATATTAATTTTTATATAACTTTTTGTCGGCATTATTATTATTGATTAGAAAGTCTAAATATTATATTTTGTTTTTCTTCCAGAGGTTGCAAATCCCTGCAAGCCAAATCCATGCAAAAACGGTGGACAATGCAACGTATTGGGCAACATTTACACCTGTAAATGCAAGCCTAAGTTTGGTGGTTACAACTGTGAACATTCTCAAAGTAAGAATACAAAACGCTCATAGTTAATTTTATTCTTTGCTGATTTCAAAAGCCACTACCGTTTGTTCAAATTGTTTTGTCAAATTGGAAGCTGAACACCAGTCCTTTCACCGGATTAAAATTTTCGTCATTTGGATTGCTCTGTTCATATAACAATTAAATTTTCTTCCCTCTACTTGTCTATTTTTTTTTAACAATCCTTTTATAAAATTAAAATTGATACAATTATTCGGAATGCTGGAAAAGATAGAATGCACGGCTCAAAGTGGAAGTACTGAGCAAACAGCGAAGCCCTCTCAATCCGGAATAATGAAAATGCCTGTCATTTAAATAAGTTTCAACTGTAAATGATTACTCCACACTCAAGACGCAATACCTTTTCGAGCTACTTGTTTAAGTAACAGAAATAAACCAAGTTCATATGTCTTGTAACAAATTTGATTTTATTTTTTTTACTAAGCCACATGTTATGCATCTGGTGATCCTCATTACACCTCATTCGATGGCAAAAGATTTGATTTTATGGGAGATTGCGAATACGAGTTTGCAAAAGATTGTGGAAAAAACAAACTTTTTACTGTCCTTACAAAGAATGAGCGTTGTGGACGGCGTGTGACCTGTACAGCGGCTGTTAAGATAATTATAGCGGGATACTTCATTCAGTTGACACGTCAGCGTGGTACAGCGAATATAAATGGAGTTAGGTTGTCAAAATTCCCAATAGTCCGTCGTGGTAAGAGTTTCAATGCTTTTGTTTTTATTACATATATTTAAATAATGGTTAAAGCTTATATAAACAAAGCATGTTTCAGGACTTCCGGGTTAAAAAGAAAGTAATCCTCCATTGTAATAAGACTCAGGGATCGGTTTGAGAATTGAGAAATAAAAATTTACGAATATCTTTGTTTAAGGATTCAAGATCACCTATCCCAGTAGGAGTTGGCTGATTTTTACTGCGGATATCGGAATGTCAGCAAGTTGGGACTTTCGGAGGGAATTAAAGGTGACAGTTTCTGGAAAATACAAGGGAATGATTTGCAACACATCTTTATGTGGCAACAACAATGGTCGTAAAGGCGACGACCATCACTACAGTAGAAAGTGTGCTCCACCACCAACACCATGTATTCCTGATTTCAAAAAGAAAATTGTGATTGATAAATGTCACTTGATGGCCGATCGTTCGTCGCCATTCACGGTGCATGTAACCGTTATTTTGATCCAGCCGCCTTGATCAGTAATTGTAAATATGACGCATGTCGCTGCACAGATCCAGTGAAATGTGTTTGTAACGCTTTTGCTGCTTACAGTAAACTTTGTGTTGAATATGGTAGTCTTATTGACTGGAGATTTAAGGGAACTTACTTATATCCAAAACTTAAAGAATGTGGTAAGAAGAACTCTTTAAATTTACAATATTTTCTTCCTTCAAGTAGAAAAAGTGTGTATGGTAATACAAAAAAATCAATTTAGTTTTTCATAAATCATTACAATCATCCCTAAATGTGCATCACATTTTCTATGTAGAACAAACATGCAGCAACAAAGGAGAAATTTTCACCGAATGCGGATCTGCTTGTGCAAAAACATGTCGTGATATATCACGTGGTCTAAACTGCAGTGAAACCTGCATTCCCGGTTGTCATTGTCCCAAAGGATCTTACTCGGATGACAAGAATCATTGTGTTCCTATGAAGAAATGCCCATGTTTCTTTGAAGGAAAATATTATAAAGCTGGCGAAAATGTCAAAGTTGGACGATGTAAAACATGGTAGATATTTCTTTCTTTTGATAAGAATTATTATATCAATAGTTTATTGTGTTCACTACAATTTTTTTTCGTTTGGTGTTTTTTCTTTAGTACGTGTAATATGGGAGCCATGGCGTGTATCGAAGATCGAAACTGTTCTTCTAACGGTAAGAATGACATTGGCTTTTTAAATGTTTAATTATTTTGAATATCGCTACGTGAAATGTGCTGTTTGACGGTGCATTCCTGGTAAAGTTAGATGTAAATAATTCAGGAAATGTAAATGTTTTTGAAGCACAAATTATCACGATTTACCATAAGAAGATCAACCTTTTACAGCTGTATATTCGATGTTTGTTAAACACGTTTTATCTGTTTTTCTTATCAAATGGTTGTATGAACTTTTCTAAGAAATGCTATATGAACTAATCAAATACGTTTACAGGTCCTTGTGAGTCTTTCCCGTGTAAAAATGATGGTGTTTGTATGGAGGAAGGAAATAATTTTACTTGTATTTGTACGAAAGAATATCAAGGAAAAACTTGTGAAGGTATGTTGTATTACATTCTTAGTCAGCGAGTTTACTGAGAAAACTGCGCATGTCAGTTATGTCACGGGTAATTATTGCAACATTCATGTTGAACTTGCGACAAGCCGTTGGCATATGAATGGACTGTTCTCAAGTCTCAACTGCATATTGACGACTTTCAAGCATGGAATTTTTGAACGTATGAATAACATATAAATAAATTAATTTGTTTTCGGTGAGTGCAAACAGTTTTTATCCGCGAATCCTTCTCAATAGTTAGCGCAGTTAATGAAATTCAAATTAACTTTTTATTTATATTCAAGATTAGTGGATCATGTTAAGTTTTGTTTAATATGAAGCAGTGTCAATTACGTTAATTGTGTGTAGATTGTGTTTATAATAAAAATTGTCATTGTAAGTAGCTCTACGTGATTTCATTTGTATTTTATGTTATTTAGAGAAAGTTTTATGTGTCTTAATCTGATATTTTTTATAGAGGTAAAACCAACACCGTGTGACTCGCGTCCTTGTAAAAACAACGACATTTGTACAAACAAAGGAGGAAACTTCACATGTGAATGTGCTTCTGGTTTTGAAGGCAAAACTTGTGAAGGTTTGTCTAAATCTTGAACTTTGTTCAGTGATTGATACAAAAACTCATTGACATGTGTGTATAAAATAGTGCCATATAGGTCTTATATTTTTATAACTAAAACGTATAAAGTACTATAATATTTAGACAATGAATAGAAATTGGTTTTGAACTCATCGTAAATTTCACATATTATACCTCATGAAAGTATCTTCTTTGTTTATGACATAAGCATGAATTATGACATAAAGAAAAGGATCATATTAGACATCCAAAAATTATGAAGTAAACCACAACTTAAAAGCATATCACCAAAGCGTTCTTTATAAATATTTCTTTTACATTAAGTCATAAATGCTTGTGCCAAAGAACCATGTAAGACAGACGGCGTTTGTTCAAGTAATGGATCTTCTTATCGATGTGAATGTAAATTTGGTTTCACTGGAAAGTATTGCCAAGGTGAGTATATTTGTGAAATTTCTTATTTATTTTACTTTTTTTCTACTCCAGCTTATATATATATATTCCTTTGAATTTACAATTTGAATGGGTACCAAAGAATTTATAATTCGTAATTTTTGCGACAACTGAGGTTGACCATGCTATCAAGAAATACTCAGACCGATGTCAATGTTATTTGTCAAAGCAAAACTGAGGTGGTTAATAATGACCGAAGTCCAAATAATCATTAATATAATGCAAAAGCCAAATTCAGTAATTAATTTACTGTACAATTATGATACTTCAAAGTATTTTGTACTGAAGTCATAAATTTTCCGTGCTTCGTCATAAAATATTTTCAATAAGCTAGCAAATATCGAGGAAGATTCTGCCATAGTACTTTTTAGGTTGTCAATTGTATTACCCACATAATGTTCCACGTCAAGGACACTTATTACATAGTATCATTTGAGTTATGTTTATCAACCTACTACATTTTGTGGGCATTTACTTGCCATGCTAACTACATACGCACTTCGTACCTATTTCTCTTTTTAGATATAGATGCTTGTGCTAAAGAACCATGTCAAAATAATGGTACTTGTACAAGTGTTGGATTCTCCTATCAATGCAACTGTACATCTGGTTTCAATGGAACGAATTGTGAGGGTAAGCATGTTTTGTAAATTTACACTCATAATTTTGTTACTCGTGTTTTGCAGGGCCACTAGTATAAGTTTCGGTTTTGTTAGTCGAAAGTTTGTGAACCGAGCTGCATTGCGCACTTGTGTCGTGATTGTGCAATATAGCCACGGCTACTCCAATACATGAGCTCTCATTATACAAAAAATACTATGAAAAAATATTTGCACAGAAGACGCAACTACGGGTTAGAATACTTCACGTTTATGCATATTTTGTGTCAATGGAGCACAGCAGACATGCTTTCCATCAATCCTTTATTGTTTTTGTTTTTCCCATGAACTCCATGCGTTCTTCCAATTCGACGCATTTAGTTGTGATGAAGTCACGTTATAAAGAGTGCAAAAGTTACAAATGGTAGAAACAGAGAAGCAGAAATGTTAAATATGGGCATGGTAAAAAGTTAAAATGTGACAGACGTCTCTCAAAAGGATGGTACAGATTTGGTGGTGGAGCTGGAACTAAAATGTCTGAATCCTGCGTTCCAAAAAATCGATGTGGTACGCATGCCCCTGGCTGGTTAAATGGAACTCATCCCACTGTGGATGAAGGAAATGTGACCAGAAAAGTCTGCTATCATTGGCGTAGTCCATGTTGCTTTTGGTCAAATGCTATTAACGTCATAAACTGCGGTCCATATTTTGTTTACAATTTAATCCCAACTTTTGGTTGCCATTTAAGGTATTGTGGCACCGACTAAAACACAACAATTGTGTGTGATACTTAGTTGTAGCTTGTTCTTATTCTTCCATAAAGCATCAATAATATGATATATATATGGATTTTTGTGAAACGTAATTATCTTTAGGATTTTCATATTTTGTATTTTGATTAACTGTACGACAGACCATTAAACTTGTTTTATAACATTGTATTTTTGTGGAGCTACTAAAGTTGAAAGGTGGCAATCTATGAAAAACGAGACGATTAATGAAATAATGTATTTAGTATAGTCAAGCTATGTTAAGGAATGAGAAAGTTGATAGTTTAATGTATTTAGTTATGTTTTGCTACTAATGCATTTGGTTATTGTGTGGTTATGTCATGAATTTGAATGAGGTTTATGAACTAATGTATATGTTATAGTCATGCTATATTTTAATGTAGGATAGAATTTATCTATCTGAAAGAAGTATCATATGGAAAACGCAGCTTTTTGAATTTAAAATTTCAATCTTTTTTAGCTTGTGCTTGATCTTTTTTAAATCAATGGTTGTAAGCAAATTTGCCTGTGCAAGACGTCACATGCATTCTATATATCCATAAAGTCAAAACTTCTCGTCGTGTTTAGAAGACACGAGCGTCTGCATTGGGAAAGGCTAATGTGTAGTAAACAAGAACTTCCACAGTTGCAGTTGTGTAATTGCTACAAAAACAATGCAAAGAATAATAACAACATTGTCTAAGTGTTTATATTTTGGGCCGCGCAACGAGCCCTTCTGAAGCGATAGAGTGTTGCGAAACAAGACAGAGCGAAACGCGGCGCAGTGATAAAATATCACGAAGTATATTATTTTGTTACATTTTTTAAAAAGCTTGCTCGTTCATGTCTGTCCGTAATTGAACTTGAAACTATACTATTACCTACACAATATAAACTCATCGGACACCAGATATTTTACAAATGCGACAATTGAATAAACTACCAATACTAAATTTACTTTAATACTTTTGCTGGTCTTTCTATCTCTCAATACTGTAAACAATGTGCCTTTAATGAACTGAATTTCATGTTTGTAAATGTAGATCGTCTAGGTTGGTATAGTCCTGAGAAGGTCTATACCAACCTGGACGATCGATATTTACAAACATGTAACGATACTCCCGGGTTCAAACCATTTACTTTAAACTGAATTCTATTTTTTGGGAGGATTTGCCATGTTATGAATGACATGAAGTTATAAAATTCCTCAGAATAAATGCGTAACACAGTTATTAGCAGTCATTTTTGCCTCCTATAACCCTTCATAATTTAAAATGTAGTTTATAAAGTTCCAACCTCGTCCCCATCAGCGCAATATAAAGAGCCTGGGTACGAGATTGACAGAGTGACAATGATTCGACGAGCTAAAGAAATTGTTTTGAATTCACTTCCTCTAGATCTTGACACACGTTGTATCACAGATTAGCGATAGCTTTTGATTCTAGAAAGAAACACTGAGTTTCTATTACTCCGTAATATTTCTATTGGCATTTCATTAGGCGTCAAGTCGTGCACTTTTAAATCTAGGAGGGCAGACAACAATATGAAAAAACGTATTGTATAGTCGCATTGATGTTGTGCATCAGTAATCTCATGATATTGTGACACAAATCTACGAAGGCTTCAAGCAATGTACACATAAGTTTTCTTAAAGGACACATGCAAGCTAGAAGACATTTATTGTAATGCCTATAGCGTGAAAATAAGACGTACCAAGTTTCAAAGTCGTCCGCGAAATATTTAAAAAGATATTTAGGGTTATAATCGGTAAAAACACGATATTCGATGACCATTGCTAAAACGCCGTGAGATTGTTTAAGTCTGGGAACTGGGAAAGAGTGACGTAATAGTTGACATAACAAGTTTCGTTCTTATATCGTTCTACGACTTGCACGCAATTCTTGCACGGCTTTCGGTAGTTTGCTATTACTGTTTTTTATTTAACAAAAATTAATGGATTCTTCTTCTGAAGAAGCCGATTATGATATTGTCGTCAATAACAATGAGGTACAACCTTACATGTTTGAGCCTTTGGCCAACGCGGAAGGTGGTCATAGTAATGACAATTCTTCGTCAATGGAAAGCGAAGATGAATACATTCACAGAAATGGAAGCATTTTATTGATGCTTCATTGTTTTTCCCAAAGTAGAAAGAATGTTTTTATCTTTTAGGTGCGAGTGTGGCTTTTGTGTGGTCATGAGTACAGGACGGGAAAGTATATGTTGCCAAGAGGTAAACAACACTGATCCTCTGATACATGGCGATCATATTTGCATCAAACAAGAGGAAGAGTTTGCCACAGTATGTACAAACGAAGCTGTCTTATAAACAGCTATGGTCGTGTACACACATGACATTGGACCTATGCCTGAGGGTGAAGAAAACGAGTAAATATTACCTTAGAAGTGTAATTACGTGTATGTCGACAAGTGTATAATGCCGATAAGTATCTTAGACAAAATTTTGTATCGTTCAGAGCATTACGCTACACGGCGTATCGACAGTGGACGGCTTGGGTGCATGGCAAGTTGGGAAAAAAGTACAGACTACCCATACCTTCTTGTGCTGTGGACAAAATCCGGAAAGCATTTCCTTCGCCTTCTGGAGAATACAAAGGATTTGAATATGCTCAACACTACTGAATGGTAGGGCTTATGGCGTATGACAAAGTCTGTTCATTTGTAATTATGTTTATTTCATGTGGGACGTTATTTCTTTTTATTTATTAAAGCGAGATTTATGTTGCTTAATGGCTTCAGCTTTGCTGATTTTTGACTTGTGGTGAGTCAATGGGACAGGTATTTCTTTCACTCCAGCGACATCAAGAGCTTTGGAGAGTGTTGGATTAATGCGTCTGCAGTACAAAACTTCTTTCATCAAGTCCTTAACATATCCTGAAAAACAAATCATTATTTATGTTGGCTTTGCATTGCACTTTGAGAAAAGGTAAGTTTATTTTTCTGTGCTAACCATAAGTGCTGTCAACTTTCACTAGTTTGATGACCCCTTGTCCTTCTTTTGACTTTGAATAAGCCACTCTCCAAATCAATGCCTCTTCTGTTTGCCCACCATTCTTTGTTTTCTGAGGTTTATTTCCATTCTCATTGAAATGAAGAGCAGCAATAAACAATCTACAAATGAATGTTAAGTTTATGTTTACAACTATTGCAACTTATTGCTTTTGCAATGATGACTTTTTTAAGTAATCATACACTAGTCATAATTATATTACCTTGCTTCCATTGATCTGTAGAAAAAATGGGTATGTTTTGGTGCAAAAAGAATCACCACTCGGTGGGAACCTTCGATGGATGAAGTCTACTTCTGATAACTGAGTTTTCCAATATCTCTCATGAGATACTTGGACTCAACAATCGAAGACAGCTCAACATAAGCTTTTGAACCTAAGATCAGAAGTTAGTTAACAAAAAGAAAAAGAATGTTGATGTTACTTTGAAATTTATTTGCTTACAATACCTTTTTTTATCAACATTCTAGGCTCTAACATATCATGTTCACATTTTGGGAATACATCATAGTTTCTAGAGGGGTTGGAACCCACCCCTACATAGACATACCCACCCCAAATTGGTAACCCACCCCTACATTTGGGTCCAAAATTTCCTTACCCACCCCTACATACGAGCCGAAAAAAAATTCGTTTTTTTCTAAGGGAAAGCTGATTTTAGACTTATTTATGGTCTCTCTATGCATACTATGTACAACACTGATAAAGTCTATGTATTCACTGATGCAATTAATGGCTGATGCAATCAATAGCTGATTTAATCAATGGCTGATGCATTAACATGGTGTCAAATTAGGGAGATATTTTTGGTCCCTTATAGGGTAATATGAAGATAGATGATGCAATAACATGGGGGCAAAAATTGAGTGATGTTGAACTTTGAAGTTATTAACTTTTTTTATCATAGATGCATTAAATCTATTTTTTAATTTTTCTAATAGGGAAAATCTCGGAACCCACCCCTACATAGACATACCCACCCCTAGAAATTCAAAATTTTTTCGACCCACCCCTAGAAGGCATTTTTGAAAATTCCAAGACCCCCTAAATTTAGGGGGGGGGGTAGAAACTGTGTACATCACTATGTCCCTCATGGATGTCACATATATGATTGAGAACTGACAACCACTTTACCTTGACAAGTTCTTCATCACCATTGCTGGAAGCAGCACACCAGTATACATGGTTGGAAATTGATTGGGCCCAATCCGACAATAATTTGCAACCACTTTGTTTTGATGCTGCCAAAATTTTCTTTTTGATTCCTGTTGGAATTTGATTATTGATGAAATGTGTAAAAGGTTGGTTTGTTATGACAATCTATACCTTTTGCTACATGCCATACATCAAAGTAGTGCTCGATTTTTGGTCTTTGTTTTGACATGTAGGATTTGATTTGAGCATCTCTGTCTGTGGTCATTGACTTCACCTTCATCCCACTTTCATCAAACTTTGCCAGACATCTTTTTAATCCCTCAAGTTCCATTGCTCCAGAGTTCGTCACTTCATTGGACTGTGTAACATAATTATATGAGTATTCCAACCATGTTTTATGTACAGTTGTTGAAGAATTGTTACCTGAACAAGTTGTGTGTCTAAAATGTTGTTAGATTCCAAATCCATGCAGCTATATGACCCATACTTGGCACAATATCCAGGCGAATCACATCTTCCATCTCCTCCAAGGTTAATGTTCCTTTCTCTGATTGATTCTAGAAGATGCTTTTGGTTCATATGACAAACATTTGAAACACTGGGTATCAAATACGCTGTTTGAATATTGCTATATGTGCGCTCTGACAGAAATTGTATGCCTGAGTGACGAAGGAATTGAAGAACTTTGCTGGGGCTACTACCACTAAACAAGATGCTGGCAGCAAAGACCAAGTTGCCCAAAGGCATTCGCCCATGCAGAGGTTGGCTATTCCAGTCTCGAACATAACCATAATGACATTTTGCTAGTACGTTAACCATACTACCAGTCGTTTTGGTCACAATGGAACAGCTTTCACCACAACATGGGCATTGACTCACTGTCTCAGGCAACTATCAAACACTATGTATTTTCTCTCATTTTGAACGTCTTCCCTATAACATAAAAATTACCATCAGAATCAGAGAGAGATAAACGTAACGTTCTGAGAAACATAACAGAGAAAAGCAATGTAAAGAATAGTCAGGTGACTGGATAGTTGGTACTAACGTTGCATTGTCATTGTCGGATTCTTCATTTTCGCTTAACTCATTTGAACATTGAGAGTCTGATCTATTTTTGCTCATGCTCATCGTCGACGTGCTTTCTGTATCAGACCATACAGCGCTATCCTCAAAATGTTCAATTTCACATGACGTCGTCTGTGTGCTGTGATTTTTTGTTGAAATGAACTCAACCTCCGTACCTTAGCATAAAATTATCGTATTGCTGGATTTTTCACAAAAATCAAAACAGCCGAAATGGAAAGTCTATACCTCTACTTATCATATTTGGCACTTTTGTTTGAGCGGTTCTTGACCTTACGTGTTTTTGCGGACGGATTGTTATGGCTGCTTGGCATTTCACATTGCGCTTCTAAGGTACGTTAAGGAATTTTTTATGAGTTAAAATAACAAAGAAAAGATCAAACGACATTAGTCTGAATTAGTTACCACTGTATATGTTTGTGTTTCGCTGTCTACATATATTTTGACATCTTTCATCTTAGACAAACTTCCTTTGAGGTAAAACGCACAAACATTTCGAGCCGATGTCGACACGTCGTGGTCGTAGTCTACAAGAACGTCGTCAATAATCTAAAATTATAAAATTGTCTTCAATTTGGTAATGCTATATAGCTTAGTTTTTGATAAATGTAAACAAATATTGCTTACTATAACTATAATATTCACCTCTTGCCTTCGTCTCTTCTCAAATGCCGTTCTAACATTTGTTGGCTGCTTCTCTTTAGATGCTACACTTGTGGGTTCCACAGAGTATTCAAAAATCGTGGGTACAGCATCCTTCTTAAGGCGAAGCCGTCCAGCTGTCCATCCTACTGATTGCATCGCTTCAAAATTTTGCACGAAGCACGAACTCTCGAAATGTTGCGAGCACAATTTTGAGCTCTTTGTTGGCTTCCAATTTTTGCGTCGGATTTTTTCAATCCAAATATCTCGCATACGCTTGTTTTCGGGAAACGGAAAAAAAGAAACCTTTTGCTGCGTTTCGTGGTTCTTAGAAGAACCGTTTTTACAATTAAATGCGGCACAATAAACCATATTTTCCATGCTAAATTGTCGTGTTGTTAAGAAGTTACCAATATATTTTGAACGAAGCGCGCAATTGACCGCGTTTAGCCCATTGAGTTCTATAATAACTGGAGGGGCTAACTTTACTGGGGCGAGATGCCAAAAAAATGGCGGCCAACGGACGTATTTCCGCTGAAATGATCGCTTTGCAGAAAAATAATATTCTCGACCTCCCCCTGGTGTCTATAGTAAATTATAAAGAATTTTTCAAAAACAAACACGATATCACAGAATATGGACATCGTTAGTTCCATAATCTTTGACGATTCTTTTTTGGCATTTCTTTGATAATGCCAACACTTCAATCGTTCAATTGTTGGATGTCGTAGTTTCCACAAAAAAGAACATATCGCTTCTCACAGGTGAGGTAGTTGTTTGTTTTGTTAGTCCGTCAACGATTGAAAAGCAATTATACATGCACTTGAAAAGCCATAAAATACATATTAAAGATCGTATTTTTTAAGACTGACTTGAACGCCAAATATACTGATGTTTTCCTGTTTTTCTTAATAAAATTCTGTATACTTTTCTGTCATTTGTTAATGCATGAAATGGTAGATTTACCCATTTATTTGCAAAATAGTTTCATTAAAGCAAAAAAGATCCTGCACACATTTTGCTCTGTGAGTAAGTATCAAGAAGAAATGATCAGCCCCAACAGTACCCATGATTTGGAGCAGAGCTTGTTATGTTCGATTTGCTGACAACATGCAGGGAAGATCAAGGAGTAAAGATGACTGGAAGATGTTATTGACTAGGCAGAGTCTTAAAAAATGATAATGCTGTAAAGATAATTGATTTATTGTCTGCCCTATCCAGAGTTATTTAATTTGATTGTGGTCAAATTCTATGGATGGAGACAATGGATTCACTAAGGATGCCTTGAATGCTTTGAAGTTAAAGTTCATGATCCAAAGAAAGATGGCAAGAAGGTTGTGTGTGTTTTGATGCTTAATGAAATGTCAATTCACAAACATGTAAAATGGAAGGCCATAAAGTTTGTGTCTATGTAAACATTTGTACTGAGATTGATGATGACTCGATGCAGATGTGAAGCTTCAAACTGTATAAGCCATTGGGTTTTATGTAACTTAATGTTTAAATCATGTCATATCTTTATCAAAATATTTTAGTTGAGTGTTGTTTGAATGTTACTAATATCTAATGCACTATACTGAAGCATTAAAGATTCAGTGATGAAACCTTTAAAGTTACTGTACTGTATATTTCTTATATATTTCTTATATTTCTTCAAGAAAAATTTGAGCTTATTTACCTATTAGAGTACAGAATGGAGATTTATCATATGCATTATTGCTGCTTTTTAAAGAAAAGTTTTCACTTTTCAAAGCTTTTCTACAAATTTTTGCTTCTTATTTCTTATCATGAGATTGATGATATAGAGGTAATATAATCCAATAACTTTCTAATTTCTAAAAAGCTTTTAAGCTTCTAGCATAAAAGTACACTATAGGAATGTAATTCATTTGGTTTTATTGCCTTGCTATGACATATCTACTTGCACTTCATCATTCTTGTATGAACAAAAGACCAGATGTGGATACTCAGAGAACAAAATGCACTACCAACTGCTTATTAAATTTATTGAGGTGAAAACTGTGTTAATCATTCAAATTATAGTGCACTTTTATTGCAAATATAGGAAAAACAAAACAAAGTGAAAAAGAAAGGTAGAAGTATTAAAACTACAAATGAATTATAAACACCATTGGAAGCATAAGTGTTTTGATGATTATTTGCATTTTGCCCAATTCATATATCAATTATTTGATGCAGTTGCACTTCAGAACATCACAAAAAGGTTACTTAAAGTAATTTCTACACAATATTGTTTGTTTTTATTTACCAAACCTATGCAGACTTGAGTCTTTTTGAAATTTCATATGAAACTCAATTACAGAAAATCCGTAAATATCCAGAGATTTAATATTTACTTTTTTAAAGAAACAAGTAAAAATCCTACAATTGTGGCGAAAAAAGCCATTGCCCATTGCATGAAAAGAGGCAAAATAGCAATGATAACAAATAAGCTGACTTCTCTCTCGTGAACCGTGGAGATGAACTATGATATACTTTTTTGTATAGACTAAAGAGTTTAATCGATCAAACAAATTTGACGCTGGTAAGAAAACGACGCACATCTGCATTCATACATGTGTAGCCGACATATAGGTCTTTCGTCGATAGTTATAAATGCATCCTCGTAGGAGCAGATAACTGACAACCACAGTTGACTCGCTGTTATGAATTTAAGGTTTTTACCTTCATTTTCATCAAAAAATTGCTTGCCGAATCCCAAATACACATATACATTTTCCTCACTCTTTCCTCAGGAAGGAGTGGGAAATTGTGAAATTTTCGGAAAAGCGGTCAATTTCGGTAAATCTCAGCGGCAACGGACGAAATCCGCCATTTTTTTTACAACATCCGATATCTAAAGCAGTGAACTCGACATTTGAATAACTGGAATGATAACCGAAGCCAAAAATTGAAGCCAAAAAAATATTTGTCGTCATCATTCGTCAGCACACGTCAGGCTCTAATCTCTCGCATGTTCATTTTAATTTTTTTAAATCATTTGTCCCTTGGTAATGGTAGAGTTCGGATCTTGATCAGAGCGTAAAAATAACGAAATTTTTGGAATGAAAAGGTTCACGGAAAGTGAATCAAAGAGATAAATCGAGAAGCAGGGTGAGGTGAACTTAGTCGATCTGCTTTTACGCTGCGGTTTTCCTTTAAAACATATGAAAGTCTTTAAGGATATTCAATTACTGATATCGAGATGACAACCATTTAGTATTTCAAGCACTATCAAAATCGATGAGAAATACAATCGCTCTGTAAAAAGTAAAAATGCGAGTTATAGACTCAATAGTTTTTATGAAACTAGATATTCAAGTTTCTTTTTTCTTCGGAAAAACAGATCTTTAAATCCACTGAAATGACAAAAAAAGACAAACACTGTCCGACACCGTTTGAAAATTTACCTTCCGATGTAAGAAAAATTTTTGCTTGAATATTTGCTCGTCATATTTTCTTATTGTATTGTCTTATTAGCATACAGTGTAATTTTCAGTTGGTTTTTCCTCGTTACAAGTTGTAAGTTACAACGAACTCACTGTAGTAAAGTTTCAGCTGTAAAAAATAACCTTTTGCGAAGAGTTGGCCTCGTTTGTTGTTTGTCGTGATGTTGTTTATATGTTTATGCTTTTGCAATTTGTATTCAAGTTTATATTGGCCGTGTATGTTTTGGTACTCAGGGGAATGAAACTGACGTACAAACCGCGTGAATATTCGACTTTGAAGGACTGGAACTGACGTACAAACCGCGCAATAGACTAGGACTTTGGCTTCAATTTTATATCTATAAAATGTATTGTAGTTATCATTCCAGATATATATATATGGAGTTCACTGATCTAAAGCCGCGCTTGAGATAGCCGCTCCAGTTATTATAGAACTCAATGGTTTAGCCAATGTCAACTATTACGTCACAACGACATCGGTAGCTGTCGCTAGCTCGTCGGGCATTTTCAATACGTTATCAATAAAGCATCAACTTTAAACCTCCATATCTTCAAAAATATTTATCTTTTGAGTCTCAAACTTTGGTGAACTATTAGTTGGAGCTATACCTTCATGTAAAGTACAAAAATAACAATCCGAATTTTATGTTGCATGTGTCGTTTAAGAGCAGCTGATACCACGAGTGATTTGTTGTTGTTGTCGTCTTCTTGTGGAGCAGGAAACGTCGAGATAATAAAGTTATGGTGTGAGGTATAGCTTCATGAGACATCAAAGATGTGGTTTCACATGAAAATTTAGGTAACAGTTTTGAATTTTAAGCGTTTAAGTAATTAACCGTTGTTTACAAGCATAATATATTAAAATATTTTTAATAAATCTGTATTCTGTTGCAGTTCAAGGGATTGCTAATGGTCTAAACCTCCGCTACTCTTCATGTTAAACCAGGGCCCATTGAGCTAAGATTTTTTCACTACTTCGCCTCTTATTTCATGTATCTCACGTCTGATCTTCAGTGCAACTTGATATCACACTATAATTACACTATAATTACACTATGATTACAATCGCACTGCAACTTTCTTGGAATGAATATATAAAAATCCCAAAGAATTAGCATCCAAATAAAATTATTTGTACGCAATTTGAAAATGTTTACATGAATATTCTATTTGATATTCTAACACATGAAAAATACTGCGCACAAACGTTAGTTTCATTTGGTGTTTCGTGATGGCTTTAAATGTCTTTACGGCAAAAGCCAGTAAGAAACGCATAGAGCTACAGATAAGAGACGTTAAATTTTCAAAAATATGGTTACTCTTAGCTTTTATGTGGCATAGAGATCAAATAGAAACATGCATCTATTTATATATTCAAAAGCAATTTTTGTTCTAATTTTTGAGATGTTTTTATTATGCAATCATGATTAAGCATTTCAGTAGAGTTATCTTCATCAATATTCAATCGTGTAATCAAATCATAAGAAAAGTCAACGTGTCACTTTCATTTGAATAAGTCTGACATAATTTGCACTGATTTTACAAGTACGTGTGTGACTACAGTCAATAGTTGCAATTTGAAAATAACAACGTTGTCTAGCTGTCTTGTGAGAGAAACTGATGTTTGTATAACATTCATTGTTATAGCTAGTAAATTGTGGAAGAACCTGTCTTTCTACTTGAGAAAGCTGTCTCCTCTCAAAAGTGTTGAAATGCGAGATTCTATCGATTTATCGAATACTTGTGATCTTACTTATTATGCAAATAGCGAATTTATTTTAATATATTGCCGACAACTGTAAATTTTTTATATAAAGCAAGGCAATTCTGAATATTTAAAGATAATTCTAATCTAGCTCTTGTAATGAAATGAGTTTCATAATAACACTGATGTCGAATTATGTCCTTTTGAGAGAATTCCATCAATATCATATGCTTTTGTAGACATACGCAGAAGCAGTTTGATTACGAAAAATCGGCGACTCAAATATCTGATTATCTTAGTAATGAATAAGAAACTTTTTTACCGTTAAATACAAATGATTTGATAAAAATCTTTTACTAGCAATCTGGCAAACTTAGAAACGGCGCACTAAAACCTCCAATGTCGAGACATTTTTATCAAAATGTGAAAGCGTTGAAAATTTAGTAGCGGTAATAAAGACACCTCGCAAACACAGAAAGAACAATAGAAAGTTTGTGAAAGACTCTTTCTTTGAATCTTTAACATGTCTGGTTCCTTCAGCAATTTTTCTTTGAAACTTAATTCTGAAAACAAAAACTCTTTGCGACACAAAACGCGTCTGTAGCAAAATACCTGTAGACATGTACACACATGAATCTGTAAAAATATATAATAGAAAACACTGCCCTTTCGTAGGAAGCATTGTTATACTTTAGCTAATGCAAATTTATGACAGAGCATATAAATGAACAGACCACTGTCCTCACTAACGTTCAGAAGACGATGCGACAGGCTTAAATGGTGTAAGAATGCACCAACATCCTTTCAATTAATCTGAGCAATAAAGCATTTTTATAGTTTGCTGGTATTTTAGATTAGCAAGTAACTATAAAGTGACATAGTAAAATCTGCAGCAAATAAATATTGCTTGATAAAAAATGAGACTTTTCATGTTGTTTGTCGTCGTTGTGATAGTGCATGATGCATCGTGCTGGATTTTTTGGCGACGTAGAAGACGACGACCTCGACGACGTTATTGTCTTACACCTGGTTCTTGGTCGAGGTGGAGTTCTTGTACTCATCAATGTGGAAATGCAGGAGTGCAGACACGAATTAGAAAATTAACTTACTCAAAATGGATATACGGAAGCTGTCCACGTTATAATTTACGGCAAACAAGGCCATGCAACAGAAATAATTGTTACAATGGAGGAAGACCAACCTATCGACATTGTAGTTGTTCAAGTTGTTACACAGGAACGTGCTGTGAAAAACGTAGGTTTTAAATGACATTATTTTAATGTGCGTGGAAAGATTAGGATTAATCATCGGCTTGAAATTACTGCGGGAGGTAGTCCTCCAGTTGCATTCAGCACAGTATAGTAGTCTCACTTCACTGTGCAACTTGCTGCTGTATAGTTAATTACTGGCTGCGGCTAGTCACTTAAGCGCTTCTATTGGTCAGAAAATGCAATTTACTGCAGGCTGCCACTATGTTAATCACATGCGTAATAAGATATCCGTATAACAAAAAATTGTATAGAGTGGGCTACTGTTTGTTTTTTTACTGTGTTATTCAGTTTAGAGTTATTCTTAATCCTTATTACTGTTTCAAACATTTGCTGCCTCATCCCAAACATGAAAATACTTTAAAACATTTGCTGTCTTATTATAGGAGGTAGCTTATAAAATTTTATGAAAACTTGTTTTACTTGTCTACTAAAGACCGAAATAAAACAATGTATTCATGTTTCTGTAAAACGTAACACTTGCACATATATCTGAGTGTTGAGTAAAATTTATCTGAACATGGGAAAACAACAAATAATTTTTTTATGAAGCACGTCGAAGAAATTGTGTAGTCAGTCAATGGTCCAGCTGGAGTTCTTGTAGTCATCAATGTGGTTATGCAGGTTTACAGACACGAACAAGAAGAAAGATTGTGAAAGAAATTTGTGGCGGACGATGTCCATACAGATTACACCAAAGAAGAGCATGCAACAGAAATAAATGTCGCAATGGAGGAAAACCAACCTATGGTAGATGTATCTGTTCAAGCTGTTCGTCAGGAACATGTTGCAACATCAAAGGTAGGTGTTATATTGTTTTGCGTTACTTTGCACGGTGCGTAAAAAGCTTGCGACTATTATTCGCTTTAAGCTATGGTGGGCGGCAGCCGTCCAGTTGTATTCAGTTTAATGCCATAACCTTGATAACAGTTACAAACATTTGCTGCATCATCAAAACCATGATTACAATTTCAAACATTTGCTGCCTCATCAAAACCGTGAACATTGTTTCAGTAATAATTATGACGACACCGAGCTTTCACGTTCTCGTCATAACAGTTTATACATTTTCATGAAAATATACTGTACTTGTCTACAAAAGACGGGACTTTACCAATCTGTGTCAGTAAAAATGTAACACCTTCATGTAGATTTGACAATTGGGTGAAAGGTATCTCAACATTGAAACACAAAAAAAATAAATTTTTTATTAAGCACCTCCAAGAAATTGTGTAGTCAGTCCATGGTCCAGCTGGAGTTCTTGTAGTCATCAATGTGGTTATGCTGGTGTACAGACTCGAACAAGAAGAAAGATTACATCAGAAAGTTGTGGCGGACATTGTTATGATTTACTCCAAAGAAGAGCATGCAACAGAAATAAGTGTCGCAATGGAGGAAAACCAACCTATGGTAGATGCATCTGTTCAAGCTGTTGGACAGGAACATGTTGCAACATAGGTAGGTTAATGTTATGATGTTATTTCAAATTGCTTTGTGCCGTGCTTACAAAGATTGTGATTAATTATTGTCTTCAAATTATGACCAGAGGTAGCTTTCCAGTTAAATTCAATTCAATATTATAATCAATCCTGATTACAGTTTAAATAATTGCCACCTCATTATAACATCTTCATATACAGCTAGGAATTGGATACAATTTATCTAGACATTGAAATACAACAAATATTTTTTAATCAAGCACGTCGAAGAAATTGTCTTGTCAGCAGTTGGTCCAGTTGGAGTTCTTGTAATCATCAATGTGGAAGTGCAGGTGTACAGATACGAACAAGATACAAGACTAGAACAGAAAGTTGTGGTGGAAGTTGTTCATATAGTTTTAAACAATCGAAAGCATGCAACAGAAATAAATGTTTGAATGGAGGAAGATCAACCTATGGTAGATGTATCTGTTCAAGTTGTTGGACAGGAACATGTTGCAACATAGGTAGGTTAATGTATGATATTATTTCAAATTGCTTTGTGCCGTGCTTACAAAGATTGTGATTAATTATTGTCTTCAAATTATGACCAGAGGTATCTTTCCACTTATATTCAATTCAATATTATAATCAATCCTGATTACAGTTTAAATATTTGCCACCTCATTATAACATCTTCACTTACAGCTAGGAATTCGGTACAATTTATATATACAGTGAAATACAATAAATATTTTTATCAAGCACGTCGAAGAAATTGTGTCCCAGGTCAATGGTCTAGTTGGAGTTCTTGTAATCATCAATGTGGAAATGCAGGTGTACGGACACGAACAAGAGGAAAGATTACAATAGAAAGTTGTGGTGGAAGTTGTTCATATAGTTTTAGCCAAATAAAAGTATGCAACAGAAATAAATGTCAAAATGGAGCAACACCATCCTATGGTAAATGTATTTGTAGAAGTGGTTGGAAAGGGACATGCTGCGACATTAAAGGTAGGTGTTTTGATATTATTTTACCTTGCCTTTCCCAAAACAAGTTTTTTATTCTATAGCAACTACTTTGATCAAATAATGCAAGATGTATATAAGTATAGCACTTTTGATACATAAATGTCCGCTTGTCTGTATGATCATTAATTAGATCTAAGTGGGTGATTTGCAGTTTCAAATTGGTGTAAGGCACTAACCTCCCAGTGACAAAAGTGACAACGAGCCGCTGAGGCGAGTGAGTTTTATATAATTAAATCTATATAAATCTCAACTATAACTTGCAAACAATTTTTTTTGTTTTCCCCTAACTACACTTGGAAGATTAAAAAAAGGCAAGATTTTGCAAATATCACGCGTACATAATCTCTAGGATTGAAGAAATTTCATTGGCCAGCTTGCGTCACGTGCTAAAGTGTGATTGGGTATCAGCATAAAAAGTAATGGCTGATAAATTTCGTTAGAATTTTATGGAAGATAAAGTGCAAATCAACGACAGAAAACTTTTTTCTTTATTCTCAAATATGCCAACCACTCCAATTACGTCTTTTTCAAAGTTCCTATTTACGGGTAAATTTAGGTAATTTTCAATTATTTTTGCTTTTTGTTTGTATTTTAAACAAGAAAATTTCTGTTACGTCAATTCCGTTTGTCTGTACTCATATAAATCATAGCTCTAAACAATTGAACATGCATAAATTCTTAACGTTATTATATAAAACACAGGCAAACACCACGGACATGATATACGGCCGTACGCAAGATTGTATTACCATGAATTTCGTTATGCTATTTGGCAACTATTAGTTGATTATGATAGGCAAACTTATTCAAACACTGTTCTCCAGTATCCCGAGTGAACGCCTGATTGGCGTCTTGTTTTTATACCATTATTAATTTCGAGAAGATAAAATTAGCCTATCCAGCTTGGACTGTGCAAGAAAGCTCGCTTCGATATTTCTCAGTAAAGACCTCGAGCTAGGGTAAATCAGGCTTAATATAAACACACTTAGATGAGCAAATTTGCAAGGTCAGTGTTCCACCTTTACGTTTAATAAGCTGCGGTATGCGACAATTATGTGGTGCAGATTTCAAAATTTTCAAAAAAGTAAATGTTGTTCGGAAAATTTTTCAAAATTTGATGATTTTTTTTCTACTACGGTCAATAAAAACTACAATGATAAAGTGTTGAGTTCTAAGGATACCCATATATATGGGCCTGAAATGTATCAATGAAAGAGCCTTATATTTTTCATTATTTAGCTGGAGTTTGTGATCACGGTCCTTGCAAAAATGGGGGCTCATGTCTTGTTGATGGCAGTTCATACAAATGTATTTGTCTTCCAGACTTCATTGGTGTTCACTGTGAGAAGGGTAAATATTTAAATTTATGACTCGTTACAGGACTTTATTTTTTTAGCGTTCTGAAAGCAAGCCATTGAAAATCCTGAAATAATTTTAAACCTACAATACAATACACATATGACTTAAACTGAAGACTTCGCTATTTTATACTACAATACCATGTGAAACAGTGGCAGTTCTAGGGTAAGTCAAAATAAATTATAAAAGCTCATTTTAAATTCAAAAGACTTTTTAAAAACGTTAAAAATTATAAAGAACAATGGAGACTAAAATACACCCAATAGGACTAGCTCCAAACTATATTAATATTGAAATATATTTTCAATAATGTATTCTGACCGACACTGAATCCACTACAGATGTGAAAATAAAAATTTATAGTGTCAACCATCATTACCCACAAACAGATATGTACTTTATTAATACTTCATCTTTATTACTATAGTTTTCTTTATACATTTTTGAATGTAACTCCAATCTTTATGACTGTTTCTTCAGATAATATCGTTTTAATCTGCTTAAGTGAAGATCGTTTTTTGCATAACTTATTTTCTGCATTATTGATACTAAGTAAAAAGTCTAAATGATGTTATTTTCTTTTTCATTCAGTCGTTCCAAATCCTTGCAAGCCAAATCCATGTAAAAACGGTGGACAATGCAACGTATTGGGTAATATTTACACCTGTAAATGCAAGCCTACGTTTGGTGGTAACAACTGCGAACATTCTCAAAGTAAGTAGAAACAAAAAGCATTTATAGGTAATTTCATTCTCCGCTGATTTCAAAAACCAACAATTATTCCGTTTTCTCAATTATATTTTCAAAAAAATTCGATTTCAATGTCTTTCTTTCACCTTATCTAAAGATGTCGTTTGGCTTGCTCTTTTCATAAAACCATTAAATTTTCTTTGCTCAAAGTGTCGATTTTGTTTTTGTTAGTAGATTACTTTAAGTAAAATGAATAATTACATGAAATGGTGTAAAAGATGGAGTACTAAGCGTGGAGTACTGTGGATCTTACATGATTATGATGTTTCTCAGATAAGGCCTTTGGAAATATTGTGAAGTACAGAGCATTAAACATTACCACCCGTCTGTAACAAACAGAAATCTCCGCCATATTCAATAGACGCCTTGTTAAAAGTCGCGATAGTCGCTCACAAGTGTGTTCCGGCGTTCAAGCGACTGATGCGTGCGCATCAATTCGCTTTGCACACGACTGAATCGACTGCCTAGTGTATTTCAGGCTTTATTTAAATAATTTTAAAGAGTAAACAAACACTCCACACGGCATACTCTGGTTTTTCAACTTGCCGACTTGTGTGTCCGTATTAGAAATAGTTAGAGTTGATGTTTTTTACAAAGTTCATCTCTTTTCCTTTACTTAGCTATATGTTCTGCTTCTGGTGATCCTCATTACACCTCATTTGATGGCAAAAGATTTGATTTTATGGGAGATTGCGAATACGAGTTTGCAAAAGACTGCAGCAAAAATAAACTTTTTACTGTCCATACTAAAAATGTTGCTTGTGGATGGCGTGTTACTTGTACAGCGGCCGTTGATATCATTATAGCTGGATACTTCATTCAGCTGACACGTGAGCGTGGTACAGCAGCCGTAAATGGAGTTAAGCAGACAAAATTCCCAATAAGCAGTCCCGGTAGGGGTTTCAATGATTTTGTTATTGTTTGTATTTAAATAAGTATTACTTGGTTTACTAAAGGTAAATTCGAGTTCCAAAATGCGTTTTTCTTGCCTTGTCGCGCGGGATTACACAAATCACGCGTGATTGAGTCAAATATATTGCACCAATGGAAAACTTTCCTGGATTGTTTCATGCATGAGAGTCACCAATGAAACGTAAATGGAAACATGATTGACATAATATCGTTTCCACGTGTGAGATTGCATTGCCAAATCTTTCGTTGCGCTATTTCACAACTATTATAATATAAGTAAACACTGTTCTGGAGTAGCCGGAGTGAACGCCTAGCAGGCGTTTTGTTCCAACTAAATAAACTATTGCTCATTGCGGAGTTTTTGAGTCGAAACGGAAGCCATTACTAAAATTCATGGATTGGTTAAAGAGATATTGAATAAAAACGTTGTTTTTCGAATTAAATTTATGAATATCTTTATTTAAGGATTCACAATCACGAATCCCAGTAGGAGCTGGCTGGTTTTAACCACAGACATCGGAATGTCAGTGAATTGGAACTTTTGGTCAGAAGTAAAGGTGACAATTTCTGGAAAATACAAGGGAATGATTTGCAACACATCTCTATGTGGCAACAACAATGGTCGTCAAGACGACGACCATCTCTACAGTAGAGAATGTGCCCAACCACCAACGCTATGTATCCCTGATTCTAAGAAAAGAGCTATAATTGATAAATGTCACTTGATGAACGATCGTTCGTCACCATTCCATGGAGCATGCAACCGTTATTTTGATCCTGCAAATTTGATCAGTAATTGTAAATATGACGCATGTCGCTGCACCGATCCAATGAAATGTGTTTGTAACGCTTTTGCTGCTTACAGTAAACTTTGTGTTGAATATGGTGGTCTTATTGACTGGAGATTTAAGGGAACTTACTTATATCCAAAACTCAAGGAATGTGGTAAGAAGAACTCTTTAAATTTACAATATGTTCTTCCTTCAAGTAGAAAAAGTGTACAAAAAAATCAATTTAGTTTTTCATAAATCATTACAATCATCCCTAAATGTGCATCACATTTTCTATGTAGAACAAACATGTAGCAACAAAGGAGAAATTTTCACCGAATGCGGATCTGCTTGTGCAAAAACATGTCGTGATATATCACGTGGTCTAAACTGCAGTGAAACCTGCATTCCCGGATGTCATTGTCCCAAAGGATCTTACTTGGATGACAAGAATCATTGTGTTCCTGTGAAGAAATGCCCATGCTTCTTTGAAGGAAAGTATTATAAAGCTGGCGAAAATGTCAAAGTTGGACGATGTAAAACCTGGTAGATATTTTTTTCTTTTGATAAGATTTATTAAATCAATGTATTTCATTCTGCTCGCAACAATTCTTTTTGTTTGTTTCTTTAGTACATGCAATATGGGAGCTATGGCTTGTGTCGAAGACCGAGATTGTTCCACTAAAGGTAAGAATAACACTGGCTTTTAATATTTTGAATGTTTTGGACATCGCAACGTAAAAATTTCTGTCTAGAGTACCATTCGTGGTAAAATTAGATGTAAATAATTCGGTAGATGTGATCACGATTATCTAAAAACATTTGCATATTGCACTCGCATGAAGTTTTTGTTGTGTTTTGAACACATTACAACTCTTTATTTTTATTAAATTTTTCCATGAAAACTGTTTGAAAAAACTCCATGAGCTATTAATACGGTTGTAGGTCCTTGTGAGTCTTTCCCATGTAAAAATGATGGTGTTTGTATCGAGAAAGGAAATAATTTTACTTGTAATTGTACCAAAGAATATCAAGGAGAAACATGTGAAGGTTTGTACTGTTAATTCTATAGCCACATAACTTAATAGAATTTCTCTGTTTCTTTTTGCGCTTGCGTTATGGTTCATCAATTTCTCAAAGATTTTTGTGCATCTAGCTACATAATACATTTGATCTCGTAGGTTGAAAATTTTTTTAAAAGTTTGTTCTCATATCGTTTAGTGATGTAACTGGAGATTTGCTTCAGTCTCACTTAAATGCTTGACTTATTTTTAATTTTTAATTTTGCTTTTTGCGAGCTTTCAAGATGGCGTCCTTTCCTGACCTTGGTATGGCAGTTAAACAAGTTAGATGCATAGGAGACTGGGCTCTAATCATTGATAGTATATATATACACAGACAATTGTCAACTGTATAAAGACAGCGTTGAAGCATTAAATTTTTATAATCGTCATTCATATATAAATTTAATTGATCATCTGAGATATAAGATTATTTAACTATAAAACTAGTGTGTTTTTTATAAGCTAATATTCAGAATAACTGCCTTGGGTCGGGTTTTTTACAGCTTAATTCATCTGTATTTTTCTATATAAAACAGTCTCGATTACGCTGTTAGTAAATTATTTTCATGCATAAAAATGTCATTCAAAATAACTTTACGTGATATTTTTTGTGATTTATGCGTTAAAAATTAAGGAATATCATTATTTGCTCTAATAAAATGATTTTTCCGTAGAGTTAAAACCAAAACCTTGCGACTCACGTCCTTGTAAGAACAAAGGTATTTGTACAAATATGGGAGATTCATTCTCGTGTGAATGTGCTGATGGTTTTAAAGGAAAAACTTGTGGAGGTTGGTTCATTTATGAGTTTTGCATAAGAATTAGTACGAAAAATTCGGATATGTGAATCAAATTGCTTATAATACACAATAAAATATCGTCAAATATTAAGTTATTATAGTTTCGTATTTGCACGTTATTGCTAAGATTTTAAAGCACCTTAGATTTTTTTAAAGTGATGCTGAATATATTATAGATCTTCAAATATATATTCCAGTTCTGCTATCCTCACTTATTTAATATTTCAATGTTCGTGCGGAAACTGCTCAGCGAGATTATGTGGTCCGAATTTTAAGTTTTTTGAAAAAGTCACTTAAGTCAAAAATATTTTTCGAAATTTGATGATATTTTTTACCTCTACTGTCAATGAATTTACCGAAAAAATTCCTTGGTTTTATGTTTTGAAATAATTAATGCTTACCCGCATTTTCGAGCTGAAATTAATAAAAGTGTTTTTCTTTTCTTAAATGTATGATTTTGATTATAGTTGGAGTTTGTGATGATTCTCCTTGTAAAAATGGTGGCTCGTGTCTTGTTGATGGCAATTCATACAAATGTATTTGTCTTCCTGACTTCATCGGTATTCACTGTGAAAAGGGTAAATATTCAAAGTTGTGAGTTTTTGTATGACTCTAAAGTCACCATATTCATAAAAAACATGCGATTGAAAACCTTTAAATAAATGTAAACCTCCGATACACGATTATAGTATGGCTTAAAATGAACACATCGCCCAATACTATGTAGCTAAAATTGAAATTTAATGGATTCGAACCACATTAAATTGAGTCAAATATATATTTTATGATTACGTTTTTCATCATCATGATCTTTTAATTTTGCTATTTACTGATATTTCTAAGTTCACTATTTTTAACTGCTTCTTCAGCTAATTGGTTAGCTCCTTTGTTTAAGTGAAGATAATTTTTACAAAACTTGTTTTCTGCATTTCAAATATTAATTCAAAACTGTAAAATATTCAATTTTTATTTTTCTTTCAGAGGTTCCCAATCCTTGCAAGCCAAATCCATGCAAAAATGGTGGACAATGCAACGTATTGGGCAACATCCACACCTGTAAATGCAAGCCTACGTTTGGTGGTGACAACTGCGAACATTCTCAAAGTAAGCATACAAAAAAATATTTTTAGGTAATTTCATTTCAAGCTAATTTCAATAGCCACCAATTATTCCGTTGATCCAAATTATTTTGTTAAAATTGGTAATTGAAAATTGAGTAGAAATGGAATCCTTATACGCATCAGTTAAAATTGATGTTCAAATTAATCTATTCTTGTCATCATTCAGTTTCCTTTCCTCTGCTTGCCTATGTTTCTTTTGGTTTTTGATGCTCAATTATTTGAAATGCTGGAAAAAGCGAAGTAAAGGATACTTATTATGGAGAACTGGGGCAACAACAATGCGAACAACAATGTCCCCTCCTTTAGCAATGGAAAAATTGCAAAGTCTCTAATTGAAAATTGTTTTTCCATTTCATAAAGTGTGCGTACTTATTTTAATATAAAAGGTCCTTCCGAGTTCATGTTTTATTACAAACTAAAGTTGGTCTTCTTTTCCTTTACCTAGCAACATGTTCTGCGTCTGGTGATCCTCATTACACCTCGTTTGATGGCAAAAGATTTGATTTCATGGGAGATTGTGAATACGAGTTTGCAAAAGACTGCAGTAAAAACAAACTTTTTACTGTCCTTACAAAAAATTTGCGTTGTGGACAGCGCGTGACCTGTACAGCGGCTGTTAAGATTATTATAGCTGGATACTTCATTCAGCTGACACGTGAGCGTGGAACAGTAGTTGTAAATGGAATTAAGCTGACGAAATTCCCAATAATCCGTCCAGGTATGAATTTATACGCTTTTGTTTTTATTGTTTTAAAATAGTTCTTAATACTAAATATATCATAGATCATTACAGACTTTGTATTCTAGACAGAAAGTAACCTCTCTTTCTATCTAACATTTACGGATCGGTTTCTGAAGTGAATAGAAACCATTGGTTTTTAACTTTAAAGTGGAATATCTTTTGTTTAAGGATTCAAGATCACCAATCCCAGTTGGAGATGGCTGATTATTACCGCAGATATTGGAATGACAGTGAGTTGGAACTTCGGGTCGTACGTAAAAGTCACCGTTTCTGGAAAATACAAGGGAATGATTTGCAACACATCTTTATGTGGCAACAACAATGGTCGTCAAGACGACGACCATCACTACAGTAGAAAATGTGCTCCACCCCCAATACCATGCATCCCTGATTCTAAAAAGAAAGCTGTGATTGATAAATGTCACTTGATGAACGATCGTTCGTCACCATTCCACGGAGCATGCAACCGTTATTTTGATCCTGCTAATTTGATCAGTAATTGTAAATATGACGCATGTCGCTGCACCGATCCAATGAAATGTGTTTGTAACGCTTTTGCTGCTTACAGTAAACTTTGTGTTGAATATGGTGGTCTTATTGACTGGAGATTTAAGGGGACTTATTTGTATCCAAAACTCAAAGAATGTGGTAAGAACAACTGTTTAAACTCAAATACTTCTTAGTTAGCATTTTTTCTTTCAAGCAGAAAAAATTTTTGTTACTACTGAATCACAAATTAGTCGTTCATACGTACATCAATAAATTCATTACTTAAAGGTAATCATTTTTCTTTGCGTAGAACAAACATGCAAGAACAAAGAGGAAATTTTCACAGAATGTGGATCTGCATGTGCAAAAACATGTCGAGATATATCACGTGGTTTAAAATGCAGTGAAACCTGTATTCCAGGATGTCATTGTCCCAAAGGATCTTACTTGGACGACAAGAATCATTGTGTTCCTATGAAGAACTGCTCATGTTTCTTTGAAGGAAAGTATTATAAAGCAGGCGAAAATCTCAAAGTTGGACGATGTAAAACCTGGTAGATATTTTTTTCGATAAGATTGTTACATGAATGTATTTTTTCTGTTTCCATCAATTCTTTTTGTTTTGTAATTTCTTTAGTACGTGTAATATGGGAGCTATGGCGTGTGTTGAGGATCGAAACTGTTCTTCTAAAGGTAAGAATGACATCGGCTTTTAAAAATTTTAAAAATTTTAAACATCAGCATATAAAATGTGCTGTTTAAAGTTAACTACATTCGTAGTTAAGTTAGATGTAAATAATTTAATAGAAATATGAATGTTTTTGAAACACAATTTATCAGATGTATATACATTTGCATATTGCACCTGCACGGAGATTTTTTCGTTAAGATTAGCCATATGACTATGTAACTTTTAGCTATATGTTTGTAAATGATGATCGTCCAGAAAGTTCGAGAAGGACTGTTTTGATATTGACGTTTCGACAACTTATAGTCATCTTCAGAAAGAGGAGTAAACGTCAGGTTAGCCGTATTTATGTCTGAATTTACGTCATTGTACAGGAAATGCAGGAATTGTATTGTGTGAGTGAAATATTTTATTTTGTTGTGATGTGATGTGACGTTTTTTGTAATGTGTGTCAATTGTGTATTGTCATTGTGAATTAGTTTGAAGTGTAATGTTTTAGTTGATCGTTTGTTTGTACAGAAGTCGTTTGTAGGTGCCGGTAATTGCTGTGATTGTTCAGGGGGTTCCAAGTTGGTATAAGTAAGTAAGTGATGATTTGAGTCTCAGTCAATGTTGGATTGATTTGATGAGTTTTCTTGTTTTTAGTAGCTCGTTTGTGCTACTAAGAAACAAGACAAACGAGCTACTAAGAAACAAGACAAAACTAATCACATTGCCGAACATCACCGAATCACAAAGCACAACATTGACTGGGACTCGGCAAAATGCATCACTTACAGTACTGACTATAGACAACGGCTTACATTAGAAAGTTGGTATACCAACTTGGAACAAACCCCTGAACAGATCACAGCAATTACCGGCACCTTACAAACGACTTATTCACAATACAAACAAACGATCAACTAAAACATTACACTTCAAACTAATTCACAATGACAATACACAATTGACACCACACATTACAACTAAAACGTCACACCTAAATCACACATCACAACTAAAAATAAAATATTTCACTTCACACTAATCCACAATGACAATACACATTTCCTGCACATTTCCTGTACACACAATACAATGACGTAAGAACCAGACAATAAATACGGCTAACCTGACGTTTACTCCTCGTTTGACTCTGAAGATGACTACCGCTAAGGTTGTCGAAACGTCAGTCAACAACATCAAAAACAGTCCTTCTCAGGACTTTATTAACCTGGACGATCATCATTTACAAACATATAACGATACTCCCGGGTTCAAACCATTTACTTTAACTTTTAGCTACTTGGTCGTTAAAAATATCTTATCTCCTTTTCTTGTTACACATTCCCATGAAAAATTTTTAAAGCAACGCTATGAACTATTTAAATACGGTTTTAGGTCCTTGTGAGTCTTTCCCATGTAAAAATGATGGTGCTTGTATTGAGGAAGGAAATAGTTTCACTTGTATTTGTACCAAAGAATATCAAGGCAAAACATGTGAAGGTTTGTTATATTTCACTTATGGTGAAAGAGTTCACTGATACAACTGCGCATGTCATGGGTTTACGACCCTATAGATGACTTTCAAATATTAAATTGTCAATATCACCAGTAATATTTATAAGTTTGTTTTATTCGGTGGTCAAAAATAGGAATTTATAAAACTGTAAAGCTAGTGCGTTTACCATAAAAATTACTAAGATCAACCACCCCATTGAATAAAAGTTAAATAAACTTCTTATTTCTATAGTATTTTCCAACATTTATCTGAAGTGCGTTGATTAAGTTTAATTCAAGTAGACTTTTCTTTTGAACAAAGTCTATTACGCTGTTTTTAAATATCATTATATTAGCAACTTTACGTAGAAACTCTTATTTGCCCTAATCTCGTGATTTTTCTATAGATTTAAGACCAACACCGTGTGACTCGAGTCCTTGTAAAAACAACGGTACTTGTACAAACAAAGGAGATAACTTCACGTGTGAATGTGCTGATGGTTTTGAAGGCAAAACTTGTGAAGGTTCGTTTCAAACTTGAACTTTATTTAGTGATTGGTGCCAAATCTCTTTGACGTGTGTATAAAATAGTGAAGTATAGGTCCTATCTACAGGGTTTCTTCATAAAAACGAAACCGCATAAATTATGTATTTGCTGCAATTATTATTCTCAATAATATTATTAGCATTCACAACAGTTTCATAAGCTTGCTACTTTTGCCCCTCTATGTTTTCATAGGTTTTGTGCAGTGTTTAAGAAATTAATTTAAAGGTAGCTGCTATCATACACTGATGTTTGGCTAAGATTTATTACGCAAAAGCTTTGTAACATTAATTGCCTGAGTAATGACTGCCTTAAAAACGTAATCATATTTTCCTGAATACTTATAAGTTGCGGCGAACATGGACAAGCGTGTAACTAAATCAACCAGACGAAACAATTATAGCTATCACAGAATAAATTATCTTAAGCAGATTCAAAGTTAATCATTCGTACTGGTTTCGTTAAAAAGAATTATGATTTTAATATGTGTAATACGTTGACTAAGCTTATCGCAATAAGCTTATAGTCAACTTATTATTAATATTATATTTCTGAATAGCGAGTGTGGCATTATTAATTGATTATGATTATTTGATAATCCCATAAAACTTGGTTTAAAATTCACTGCAGCAGACACATAGTACATGTCATTAAAACATTTTGAATGCTTATGAGAAAAACAAAAGGATCATATAAGACAACCAGCATTTATGATGTAAGCCATAATTTTTGAAAGCATTTCATCATAAAATTTTTTTTTGAATATTTTTTACATCAAGTTATGAACGTTTGTGCCAAAGAACCATGTAAGAATGACGGTGTTTGTACAAGCAATGGATCTTCTTATCAATGTGATTGTAAATTTGGTTTCATCGGAAACAATTGCCAGGGTGAGCAAATTTTGAAAATTTTTTATGGCTATTACTTTGTGTTTTTCCTAGATAGCCACAATCTCTCTTGAGGTCAGGGGCCTGGTCACCTTTTGAAGGATAAACCTTTCTTGCCTAAGTTAATCTTCTGTACAAAATTTCCATTGAGATACCTCATGTAAAACGTAAACTATTTTAAGCGCATCTAACTGCGAGTACATCGGATAACGATATTGGAAAAAAGGATACGACTTTTTGAATGCAACAATTAGAACCAGTCCCTAAACACAAATTTCTCATTATGGTTTTATGGTTCATTTTCGTTGGGCTGTTTTATGATTGTCATCATTTCTTGGCTGTTGAGCTGAGAATATTAATAACAATATTTTACCGCATTGTTTAACATTGTTCAATACAAACACGGTTTTTCTATTTAGACATAGATGCTTGTGCTGAAGGACCATGTAAAAATGATGGTAATTGTACAAGTGTTGGATCTTCTTATAAATGTAAATGTAAATCTGGTTTCAATGGAAAGAATTGTGAGGGTAAGCATGATTTGTAAATTTTTCCTCTTTTCTCACCCTCCCTGTTTTATGATTTACCATAATTATTTTTTCTAATTGGGAAAGAATGTATATTTTGAAATTGAATAAATATAGCATTAAAGTGCGTGGGACATTTTTTTTGAAATATTGCTTTCATTGCAATGAATAGGCATGATCCATTTTTCGCAAAAATTCATCCACTAGGTAGCAAGCCCCATACTCAGTTTTACAGGAATTTGTCTCATGTTTTTGTGAATTGAAGCCTGTTTGTGGGTTTGCAACCTTCACCTTCCTCAGTCAGCAAGCCACTTGACGTTCCTATTGCTGATTACGTCATTACGTTTTTCATGAAATCAGGGAAGAATAACAGAAGTCAAAAATTGCTATACGCTAGAAATCCGTCCGCTGTTTATTTGTAAAAAAATAAATCTTATTCCTTATTTCAGCCATCACTAAATCGGCCTGCGTAAACGCGAATTGGTGGCTTTCTTTCAACAAACAAGGATGGTCCACATGTAAGACCACAGACACATTTATTACTGGTTTATATCGCAGCAGCTATATCAGTTATGATGGAATTTTCCGTCTTGACGAAGCGAAATGCTGCACATCGGGGCCAAAATATACTGCACAGAAAGGTATTTGTCAAAATGCCGACTGGGGAACATCTTTCGACACGTTAGTATCCTTTCACAGATGTAAACTTTTATTTATTGACTGTTAGCGTATCGAGCCCGTACATGCCAATAAGATTATTGTAAAAATGAACAAAGCAGTGACAGAAGTCTCGGCGGGGTAGAAATCTCGATTTACAAATTTCATCTTTATTTAAAATTGCCAGAAATTTTACGTTATGATGACAAAAATGTGAAAACAACTGAATGCATTGAAATTCAGAGAAGTAATGCTGGAGCATGCATGAAAATTTCAACGGGGCACATCATGCTTAAACCTAATAATCCTTGATGTATTTTCTTTTATGAGCTTTCTTTTTTTATATAAACCCAATGACAGTCTCCATCGCTTTATATAAACCAATCTTTGAAAAAGACGAATAAACCAATTAGTCATCTCAAGAATTCTAGATCTCAAGGAATTGTCAAACAATGCATTCCATGCAAAAAGTTTTGACACTACAAAAAAACTTCTTATAAATTTTCTTACCTTCGACTCCGCACGTCCATCGCCAGGACTGAATTTCCGTTACTGAAACAAAACGCAAGTAAAATGAAAACTTTACTTGCATTAGAGCCGTGATTAATTTTGCTTCAATAATTGCGTATCTGATATGAACAGTGTTTATATCAATAAGCTTTAGATTTATTGACACAGACTGCCAGACAGGCGCTCAAGCACTCTAAAAGTCAGAGGATAGAAATACAAAGTCATCTTTGCAGTTCTTACACTTATCATTTTTCATCTGCCGTAGTGGGATTTTCTTGCAGAAAATAATTTCGTGACTTGTAGCTTTGTCGTCCTCCATAGCTTTTGCTTTTCAGAATGACGAATAATTTTCCGTGTGTCATGCAACAGTTGATAAATAAGGCTAATCACTCATTCTTAAAACTTTGGTATTTTAGAGGAGGCAAATGGAGTGTTTGTCCAAAGGGATATTTTCTAAATGGTCTCTATCGTTCAAGTGGTCACAAATTACAAAATATAGAACAGGCAAAATGCTGCAAGCCAGTCAATCACCCCAACAAATATGGTAATTGTCGTTATCGTTTTATCAGATATTCTTTTAATAAGAAAGGTTGGACGACGTGTAATGATCATGAAAAGGGGTTCTACCTCACTGGATTCAGAAGAGATTATCATGGACATTGGCTTCACAACATTGACTTTTTCAAATGTTGTAAAATGTGGACTGGTAAGATTGTATTTTTAAGAATCATTTTTGGATAAAAGTAGATATTTTGACAATCTCCCTTTGTTTAGGTTGAGGCTCTTTGTTTCCACTCAATCAAAATGAACGTTTTCATCGTAGAAGAAAAGTGTTTGCTGTAATTAAGATAGAAAGTATTTGATTAGTTATTTGCTTAGTATTTTGTTCAGTAAAAGTTTGAAGAAAAAAGGGATGTGGTTATTTTTAATCTGTTATGGCCACTGATCTCACGAACTGTTTAAAACCTAGGTTTTAATAAGGGCACTGAATTGTTTCATAACTCTTTGAATATATGAAGGCATTCGCAATAAGATAATGTCAAGTTTATGGACTGATCATAGCTATCCGGTCAATAAAAACATGACAAAATTTATATCCACACAGTCAAAAAGAAGAACTACTAAATTGCAAAAGCTGTCAAACACAGTTACGTCTTACTGACATGCGTGGGTGCAATGTGTGCAACGGCATCATACCAACCAATCAGGCATGCCATTAATTCCCATTGGTGTGAACCAATGCTTAGACTTGTTTCGGCCACAGTATAGGTATATACATTTGGGCCACTTCGCTGTGCAACTGGCTGCTGTATATTTAATTACTTTACTGGCTGCCGTTTGCCATATCGTCAATCCTATTTGTCAAAAAAGCAATTTACTGGCTGCCAATATGGTAATCACATGCGTAATAAAATATGCGTGGCACGAAAAAATTCAGTGGAGAGGCCATACTGTATGTTCTCTACTGTGTTTCGGCCTTCTGGGCGTTTTTTTTTCTTTAGCTGCCTTTGAGTTTCGCTCTGTAATAGCTTCAGCTTTGTTAAAGAAATAATTTCTTCCTTTTATACGATGAACATCTTGTTCTACTTCTTACTTTTTAAGTACACGTATGGCATCATTGTGAATGTTATCTACAGTTTAAAGATAAAGAATGTGACGTTTTAAAGTAACCGCGAAATATGGACAAACAAACAGTCGTCGAAGGCAAAAAAAAAACAATCGCTAAGGGCAAACCCAAGTAGATTTTTGTACTTCTTCCTAAGGTTTGAATAATCCATTAACTTTTCTTAAAAATATTCTTTTAAGTATCTTACATATCAAAAGTATTTAAGAATATTGAGATGATCTGAATTAAGTATGAAATTTGGTAATGGCCTTGATTTATATTCAACTATATTAGGGGTTTGATAATTGTTATTCGTTTGCTATGGCTTTGTTGCTTGAGAATTCGTTGGTCCTGTGTTCGAACAGTAGATCCAGGTAATCATATTGAAACAAGTGGTAAAGGTTTGTCGAATTCTTTTACGAAACGTAGTTATAAGCCAAGGGTATATTTTTGAACTTTAATTTGAATGCTATAACCTTAAATCGTTCGAAGTGATTTCCTAAATTGTTACATTAATCATTGCCGAATGTTAAAAGCTTATGCTAATGTTATAGATTATTAAGCTTGCTTACGTTTTCCTGGCAGACGAATGTATCCCAAAGGAGGTTAAGCATCGTAGCTAGTGTTGTCTAAAAATACTTGACCAAATCCGCCTGCCGACGTAGAAGTTTCATATTTCATACTTTTCAGCACGATAAAGCGGGGGAAAATTTCTTTTAAATCTTGTAAAAGCGTGTTTTGATGAAAAACTTTCTTCTAAAGTGCAGAATTCGTGTTGTAAAAAATGGCGGCCACTTACTAGAAAGTTATCAAAACGAAACGGACTTTAAGGACTAAACGAAATTAAAGTAGACTCAAACGTCCTCATGTAGATCAAGTTTAAGTTGCCGAATTCTAAGGTTTTATTTATCCTTCATCAGTATTTTACAGATTTTGATTATAAATTTAGAACAACCCCCTACCCATAGCAACAAGGGAAGCGTACATGAAGGTAGGAGAGGGAGGAATGCCTCCACTTTTTTATCATCAAGCATTTTATAGGGAAAAATTTAACGTCAACATACATTTTATATTCTCGTGTTATTAACTTTTGTGGTGAACATCTGTTCAAAACAGCTATGTAAAATAGTTCTCATTGTTATGTCAAAATAACATACGCTTTTACTAATCCTCTCTTCCGAAACACCCTTCCATTACGCTGTACATATACATATATGTTATAAAATCCTTCCTTTAGTCATACTTAAGGCCTAATGTCTAACGTTATAAATATTTCTATTAACATTAATAAAGTCAGTCTTGAACTGGAATTGTTTCTGTTATTCTCTCGGTAAGCTACACTTACCAAGGGGCTTCCACAGGAAAGTGTTGTTTGGCCTATTTCAAATGTCGAATTTATATCAGCAGAATGTATTAAAAACAAAAGAATATTAGGTATTGAAATTACTCAGTATCTTTTTTTAAATCTGATTAAGTTTATAATCAGTTTTTACAAAACCTTCTCTTACGTTAAAAAATGCTTTGTAAGGTATCTGGGAATGTTTGTGATGGAAAATTTTGTAAATACTTTATTGGGCAATTTATAGTCTTCCACACATCCTACCTCAACACCATGTATTGAAAGCTTGCAGCAAATATTATATACTGATCTTATCGATAGGTTAACTGCTACTGTTGACAGCTGTAAACAATAAAAAATACGTGACATGACAAAACCAGTTTGTTTAGAGTCATTTTATAAGAGTTATTTTTCAGAAAGACTTACATAAAATAGAACTTTTGAAAGATTGTTTTTTTTTAGAAATTGCTAATAGCCTAGCAAATGGTTGAAAATAATAACCTAATAATTCTCAAAAGAACTGTTTGAATCCAGAACGCTAACCCAACAGTTCTTAAAAGGGTGTTTTATAGCTTGAAGACATGAAAACTGCTTCTCATTTGTCATCGTCAGCCAAATTAAAATTCTCCAATTAATATGATTAAGACAAATAATTTCGTAAAAGCACTATTGCTAATGCGCATTTAATATACACGACAATTTTTTTTAAAAATAGATTTGTTTCGACATTTTAAGTCTTAAACTTCTTAAATCACTTCTTAAATCTCACTTATGTAAAACATACTATTGACCCTCTTGCTTCAAAATCAATGCCGACACCTCATTCACCCTTAAAATCAAAGAAGCACTCTACATTAGCAAAACTAACCCTGACTTCAATGTTCAAGTTTTTATATTCAATACAATATTTAGTTTAAAAAAGGCTCGGACGCTCTCCTTAATTTATCATACTTCCTTTTTATTGTTGTAATTTATGTATCATATTACTTTTATATAAACCTTGTATCACTTATTATTTCACTCATACTGAAGATGGCATCATGAGATGTCGAAACATGTCTATTTTAAAAAAACTTGTCGTGTGTATTAAATGTGCATTAAGACAAATTATGTGAATCAGGATATGGTGAAGATTTTAGATGCAATTCTGGTGAATGTGAAGTGGATGGATATGATGAATTTTAATGAAACAGATATGATGTGTGATTAGCAGATGGAATAGTAGAATGAGTTGAATTAGAGTGAGATGGAGCAAGTAAGTCTGGATCAAATGTATTCAAACCTGATAAATCCTATTCTCAATGATTGGAGTCATTCAAATTAGTCGAATCAGAATCAGGTCGATCTGATACAGATAAATTTAATTCAAAATCTTAATCTGAATCAAAATCTTGTTTGATGAACCTGTCGAAACTAATTCTGATAAATCTGAATCTAAAGGTTATGATAAATTTTTCATTCAATTCTAATTAATCAGATGAATCAGAATCAGGTGGATTAGGTGGATCTCGTAGATCTGATGATTTAAATCAGATATATATTGTGATTCTGTTGAATCCAATTCTATTGAACCTGAATCTAAAGAATTTTGTAGGACAAATGTTGTAAATCAGAATCTGGTAGATCAGGTGGAACTGATGGTCCAGATTTAGACGTATTTGAGTCCGTATCTGATGAATCTAAAAATCAGAATCATAGCAAATTTGGTGAATATGTTGAATTCAATTCTGATGAAACTGAATCAAATAGATCTTAGGATTCTGTTTAGTCTATTTCTAATGAATCTCAATGAGTCAAAATGGTCTGTATCAGATGAATTTGAATCGGATGGAAATGGTTAATCTGTTGAATCCAATTTAGATAAATGTAAATTGTATAGATATGATGAAACAGAATAAGACAAAATGGTGAATCATGAGCAGTTGGAACGGTAAAATTATATTTTCATGGAACAGTGAATCAAAGTCAAATGGAAATGATGAATCTAGATCAGATAGATCAAGGAAATTTGATTGAGATGAATAGGAAACTGAACTGAAGCAAAAATCAGACAAATTTGATTTTAACAAAATATTTGAGTGAGAATGTGTTATATGCAGAGGGTTAGAAGATATACCAGGCAAACTAGATGGATCTTATGAATTTGAGTAAGTTGGATCTATTGAATTAGAATCAGATTGAATTGGTGAGCCACACAAATCATGGGAATCAGATTCTGATAGATAATTACATTTAGTATCAGGTAAATACCAGGGGGATCATAACTAAGTGGATTAGGTTAGTCAGAATCAAATATGTCAAGTGAATTTTATTCGGGTGGATAAGGTTCAGCCAAACCTAGTAATTGAGAGAAATCTGAATTAGACAGAGTATTTGACGTGAAATCAAGCGAATCAGATAACGTAAAAAACGAGAAAGGTTAGGTGACTTGGAATGAGACTGATTTTGTGTTTTCAACTTGGATTGGTCCAAAGGCACTTAACAGATTGGTTTCATTCCAGATCAAGTGTTTCAGGAACCTCAGTATTACGTAGATTGGCTAACTTCTGAATTCAATATATTATTTGAATGTGAAATTAGTGGATCATCCGTTCTTTTTGTATGTTTTCTGGCTGTTTTCCTTTGATGATATGGAAGCGACATGCGCTATAATGCCCAATTTAAATGTTGACACCAGTTTTGGAGATACTAAAAAGTTGCGTATAACGGGAAAAAAATTTGGAGAGTAGTTCATTCTAATTTGGCGAAGATAATATTGTGGCATTGCATGCCTAATTATACTTATATGCTGTAATGACGTAGGTAATTCCTTATTTAATATGCATGAGTAATGCATATAAGAACTTGTACTTATGTAAGTTTGGATTAAATACAAGACTTATTACATGGTGGTAGCGTTTAGGAAAAGTTGGTTCTTATCGAATGGCAGAAGGATTTTCTAGGCCAACACGACTCTCGTTTGAAGGCAACGTTGCTGAGAATTTGCGTTGCTTCAAACAGAACTATGAAATATACATTGTTGCTGCAGGACATAGTCGGAAATCAAAGAAAGAAAAGTCATGCATCCTCTTAAATCTAATGAGCTTAGAAATAGAAGCAGAAGTTAGAAAGTGTGATATCTGCAATGCCCATAAGAGTCATCAACAAAAGGAGCCTCTACAATCACATACTGTACCACATCGACCATGGAGTAAAGTTGGAGCAGATCTGTTTGAATTGAATGGTAGAAGCTATCTTCTTATGGTAGATTACTACAGTGGATTCTTTGAAATTGATTACTTGTTAAATACAACATCAAAGACAATTATCACAAAGATGAAATCTCAAATTGCGAGATACGGAATTTTCGAAGATCTTATAACAGATAATGGTCCACAATTCAGGAGTAAAGAATTTCGTGCATTCTCGTTACAGTATGGATTTAAACATACAACAAGTTCACCTGGATATCCAAAACGTAACGGCATGTCAGAACGTGCTGTGCAGACAGCAAAAGCAATCATAAAGAAAGCAAAATATGATAACACCGATCCTTATTTAGGACTCTTTAATTATAGAAATACACCTAGAGATGAAATTGTTGGCAGTCCAGCTCAACGACTAATGGGACGAAGAACTAGGACATTACTACCAATATCAGAGAAGTTACTTGAATTTCAACCATTAAACCCTGTTAATGTTCAAGAAAAATTGAAAATGTATCACGAGAAACAAAAAGAGTTTTATGATCGCAATGCAAAAACACTTCCACCATTAAAAGAAGGAGATAAGGTACGTATAAAAACAGAAAAAGGCTTCCAAAAGGAAGGAATCGTGGAAAAATCGTTACTTGAGCCAAGATCGTATTTGGTTACGTCTGATGGTACCTACTATAGAAGGAATAGAAATCATTTATTAAAGATTAATGAAGAATCGACAAGTCAAAATACAGATAAGTCTTATAGTGAGAACAATAGATCTTATAAAAATTCTAATGAAAGTACTAACAACAGTAATATAAGAGCTCGGTATGGACGTCTAATCAAAAAACCTAATAGATATTCTTATTAGATAAAAATAAGTTAAAAAACATTTATAGTGTGAAATTATTTAAAAAAAAAACAAAGAAAAAGAGATGTGACATTGCATGCCTAATTATATTTATATGCTGTAATGACGTAGTAATTCCTTATTTAATATGCATGAGTAATGTTATAAGAACCTGTACTTATGTAAGCTTGGATTAAATACAAGACTTATTACAAGTATCAACAGTATTGTCTTGCTGCTGTCACGTATATTTTAACAAGCTAGTTCATAAAGGAAATCAAAGACGTATATAACTTAAAAAAGCGAAAGTTAACAATACTAAGATACCCAAAAAACGGTTCTCTTCAAAGTAAAACCTGGTTTTTAAGGCCGCTTTTTACTTCTAACTTATCGTACCGTAACGTATCAATTAAGACCATATCACTGTACGTCAATGCATAGGAAAGAGAGAAGTATGACATGTTCTGGAAGTGCAACCCATTGCTTTTGAGCACTATTATCAGCTCAAACAGAACAAAATTTATGTGCTTCCAACTGAAAGCGACCTTGTTCTAGCTTTACAATATGTCAAAGTTTGTTGATTGTTTCCCATATAAATTCAGATAAAATACTTGAATTTTTGCGATGGCGATAATTGATAATATATTGTGTCTATAAATGCGGAATACTTTAAGGTTAACCTAAACCTCTTGTATGTTATCACTATTCGATGTCATTTTTCGCTTGTGCTTACTACAATACCACCATTAATTACTATATCAATTAGACGTGATACACATGAGTGCTTGAAATAAACACTGGCGAAAATCACTGCATCTTCGAATAATTCTAAGTACCAGAGAATATTAACATCCAAAAGAATTGATGAGATTTGTACGCATGACATGCCTTCGTGCAGTTGAAAATATCCTTAAGCAATACAAGTTTCACAAGACACAACTTTTAAAATGATGCAAGATATTGTTTTTTGTTTTGTTTACATGCTGTGTGGGAAATATCAAATTCAAAGAGATTGCAAACACAGCTGTTCCATAAATAACTGAGGATTTTTTTTTTATAAATCCTTGTGTATACTCCAAAGCAGAAATTCAATACATCGGTGTTTCAAAGGAGGACCAGCTATTTTCGATAGACTTGATCACTATTGATTTGCTTTCAACTACATCTCACGACCTCCTTTCCCGACTTTGCGTGCGGTCAGTCAATATTCACTATCACACGTATAATAAAAATTAATGTCCAACATAAAGTTTTAATTAGAGCTATGTTGGGCATTAATTTTTATTATACGAATTGGATTTCCGCTCCGCACGTCTCTCGCTACTATTTTAAATTACAATATCAATTTGATTTAAGAAACGTGACAGCTCGTAGTAAACACTGTCAATTGTGATAGGCACTGCATCTTTCATCGAATGAATGTAAAAGATTACCAATGAATTAAATCCATAAAATTATCACCACTCATGAAAAATGGCATCAAATAGTTGAAAATATCCTTAAACGATAGTTTAGATTTCTATAATCTTTTGTTTACACTGTATGTGTTATTTACTAATAAATAGAACTGAATTGGAAACTAGACAGCAGTTTTTAAGTATAAATTAAGTTATGAAAATGTTTTTCATGGTTATTGTATTTCATATTCTATAAAATATTGAATATACTGCATAGTGCACAAACGAAAACGCTAAAATTGCTACATATGTTTTAACGTAAAACTCTTAAAATTTCTTTGAATTGCAGTAGCTAAAAGGCATTTGGAAACGCAAAGATCTTTAAAGACGAGACATTAAATTCTGAAAATATTGATATTGTAGCTTTAAACTTTTTTGGAAAACAAATCAATTAAAAACAAGCATCATTTATACATTCAAAATATATTTTTATTGTTATTCTAGATATTTCTGTAATACAGTCATGAAGCATTTCAATCGTCTTACCTTTATCAATATTCAATCGTATGATTTAAACATTCAACGTGTCATCTTCATTTGAATAGGTGCAACACAACTTTTACTGAATAATCTGCTATTACAATTTTTAGTCGCAAATTCTAACTTTGTCTGTCCTTTAAGAGGAACTGAAGGTGGTTTAGTAAACATTCAATGTCACATCGAATACGTTGTGGAACAGCCTGTCCTCAAACATCTGAATGTTGTTTCTATAATGTCGTAGTAGCACAAAAGTCATTAGACGTTTAAATTAAATACAACATATTTAAAAATAAATCTACTTCTTCATACTTAGTGCCAAGTTTAGTGCAAAGTTAGTAATATTATTCACGCAGGGTGTTCTACTAGTTTGTTTAGTTTAGGTTTACGTTTTTATAAAGGGTTTCTTTGCGTTTAATGACGAAAGGATTTTGAGCAGTGTCTAAGATGCAAAAGCAAGATTGCGTGTAATTGGTTTTGCAATGTGGTTACGAGAGTATAGGTTATCAAAGATGTGTAAGTTTTTGTCCGTAGTTGTGTGCTCTTTAATCCGTGTCGGGAAAGATGGCGGGTGGTCTCCCCAATGCACCTTAAAAAAATTTCACATATATTTTCATAGATGAAATGTGTCAATTTCACATAAGTTTCACATATCATTTCATATATAAAATCAAATGAGAAATTTTCTTAAGGAGTGCATTGCTGAATTACATCCAGCTTAAAAAATTTACAAATCACGTTGCATTTTAAAACAGTGGGAATCGGATCTTTGAAGATGAGCTTGTTTATAAGTTTAACAAAATAAACACAACACTGTTTATTGCATATTACTCTGTATCTACGTAGGCATTCTTACTCAATTTGCACCAAAAACTGGCTCAAAAACATGCAGAAAAATGTTTGCTTTAAAAAAGAATTTTGCTCATTTAAAATTATTGACGAGAATATAGTCTTCAAAATTTATGAATATAAGAGGCGAAAGTCTTATTTTTTTACACATTGAACTAACTTATATTGCACATAACATAATTATTTTATTACATTCACTGATATATTCTTCTCCTATCTGAGGATACAAATTTCACAACCTCCATTTCTGACCTTACGTGCGCTCGGTCATTATCACTGGGCATTATACTGATACACTAATTACAATACAATTAAACTTGAGAGACATGACTGCTCAGACTGAGCCCCGGTGATAAGCACTGCAGCTTACATCGAATGAATGCAAAGAATTACCAGAGAATTAGCATCCAAAAGAAATCATTTGTACACATAACATGCCTTCATTCAATTGAGATATCCTTGACGATATAGTTCAGTAACGTTAGTGGTAACGAGACATTAGAATATCTTTGAGTTGTAGTAAAGCCATAGAATGATGAGGATAATTCATATATTGCATCATTCTTCAAATTAATTTGTAAAATTCCATTGAATTAAAATCTAAATAATCATCTGTACGTTTCTGAATATACACTCAAACGATGATTATTATTCATTTACATAGAATTTGGCAACATTTAGATAGTTGTTGTTCAGTGAATAATTGAAGATTTGAAAATGCTTTCATGTATATATTGTATTTAATATTCTAACAATAATAAAATAGAGCACAACTTTTGTTACCTATGCTTAAACGGAATCACCCATAAAATGCCTTTAAGTTTTAATAAAAGCCAATTGGAGACGCAAAGACATAAAAACAAAAGTGACAATTTTATCTTTAATCCTTAATTGGTGCATGCATCCAAATGAAATAAAACATGAGCATCTACATATATCTTCAAAATAAATTTTTACTGTGTTATCAATATGTTTCTGTAATACAAACATAAGGATATAAATAGGTTAACCTTTTAGCGTTATATAAGTCTTTCGTTTGAGCTCCGAGCGTGAGTCAATGTAGTAGAAAGCTATTGAGTTTTTGTGATTATTTTATTCACTAGCGAAGAAATTATCTACAACATTTGTGAGTATTCTCACTTTTTCAATTAATATACAGGCTTTTTATACATTTAGCTAAACAATGTGCAGTTTTTACGAGGCGGATAATGTACGTAAAACTAGGATAGGCTATTTCCTTTGATGTGAATATATTATTCTAGACAAAATATTATACATACGTGATGTACGTAATACAACCTTCATCAATATTCAATCGCACGATTAAATCAATTGATTCGAACATTCAACGTGTCACTTTTATTTGAATAGGTCTTATACAACTGCACTGTATCACATATACATATGAGACTACAATCTTTTGTTGCAAATTATAATCTAGTCTTTCCTGTGAGAGAAACCGAATGTGTTAATACATTCAGTGTCAAAGCCAGTAAATTGTGGAACAGCCTTTCTTCAACTTGCACAAGGAAGTTGTTTCTATAATTTCGTAATAGCGCAAATATCGTTAGACATGTCGAATGAACGACAACTTTTACAAGCAAACATGTTTCGGTATACTTTATGCCATCTTAAGAGCAAAGTCACTAAAGATCTCAGAGAAATTCTGCAAATTCTAAACGTCGTCAGATTTCGAGGGGAAGCATTTTTGTTTATATACCCTTGAACATACATCAGAAACAGAAATTCATTAAATCTGTATGACTCTTTGTTGTTGCATTTGGTGTTAAAAATCAGAACCAACTAATTTCGCTAGACTTACATTTGACTTGGTTACACCTACATTTTACGACCTCCTTTCCCGACTTGACACGCAGTCATTCATCGATCACACTGACATACTAATTACAATATAAGTTAGAATTGAGAGTCTTGACTACTAAGAAAAAACACAGTGACTAGTAAAGCACTGCATCTTTCTTCAAAAAAATGTTAAAGATTGCCAAAGTATTGGAATGAAAAAGAAATGATCGGAACTCTTAAATGCCTTAATACACGACTTGCTTTGTTTACATTTTACTGGCAGGCAGATTAGGTCGAGTGGTTTTGAATAACACAAGATAGTAGGTAAGTTTTAAAATTTGGAATCTGGAATCTTAAAATTTGGGAATCTTGGAATCTTTTGGTTTTATATCATAAAGTAATGTTTTTATTTACAAGCTCTAAAGACGCGTTCAATTTACAATTTCAACATAGTAATTTATGTTTATTGTTTTTGGTTGTGCGGTCTGGAAAATTTGTAGCTTTTATTGTATAAAACTTGAAATACATTTCGTACCTTTTATTTTTGCACATGTTTTTGAACTTATGATGATTCGACTTCATGTTAATATTTACAACAACATTCAGACTTTTTTGACAGGAATATTTAAAATTAAGAAAATAGGAGCACAAATGATCGGCTTAAACGGTTTACAACTTCAAATTGTAAGAGAATTTAACGGCCCTCAAAACTAATAATAATTCCTCTTTAAATATATTAACAACGCGTCGTTTTGTATATTTCGATAAGTATAGCAAACACCAATCTTAAATATCCAGAGCACCGGTGACATATTGTAATGTTGACAGCAGAGAACGTTGATTTATGGAGCACATTCGAGTGGGCATACATAGAAATAAAGAATTGTTGAGAATTTAACATCGACTTCTTTCAAAATTTTCGATGCAATAAAAGTGTTTTTTCGACCCGTGACTTTACCGGCGACATTTTACACGTGATATCTCTATTTATTGGAGTAAACCAAAACTTATGACTTTGTAGCATATGAGACTTATGGGTGAAAATATTTAGATGGGTATGTCTAATGAGCGGAGAAAATCACGTGATAAAATATGCAACTCGATATGGAATATTCTATAGTCTTACAAACATATCTATAGTCTTTGTCAGACTTAACTACGCCAGAGAAGCGCATGAGATTTTTTGTTTAAAAGGGCATTTTTAAAGACGATAATTTCAACGAGCACTTATTGATGACATGCTAGATTCGTCGGTGTATGGAGTTTGTTTTTGTTAACAGAGACTACGGCTTTATGTACGATGAGGGTTGTTGGTGAAAAGTAATTAATCAGTATAATAGCACAAATTGTAGCAAATGAATGAAACTAACTCACAATATTCGCTCTTATAACGTACAGGGTGCGAGCAATTTGCTTCGCATTTCTCTATGCCATTGTCGCTAATGCACCTTTGAAAACATACATGAATTACTACGTAGAAATTGTAAATTGAACGCGTCTTTAGAACTTGTAAATAGAAATATTACTTTATAATTTAAAACAAGAACATTCCAAGATTCCAGATTCCATGTTTTACAACTTACCCTAGAAAGTAGCAACAACCGTCAACCTCTCCTGGGATTAATCTGTCGCAGCAAAACGTAAACAAGGCAAGTCAACTATAGAGTTAAAAATATCCTCAAACGATAATTCAAATTTCTATAGATATGTTAGATTGTTTACGTTTTCCGGCAGGCAGATGTGGTCGAGTGCTTTTAGAGAACATCAGCAACAATGCTTAAACTCCTTTGGGATAAATCTGCCTGCTTATAAACGTAAATACAAAATAAAACAAATTCCGATGAGGGACATCTCGTTTCCTTGATATTAAAGATATAACAAGAGTTTGAAACTAAATAATGAGTAATATTTCGTCTTTATTCCAAAGACATCATCAGACTTATGGTTTACAATGCAGGCTGCCAAACTTTTATATATTTACAAGCGGAAATGGCAGTTATAACTCATGTATCAATGTTTTGTTTACAGTGTGTGTAAATTACAAAATTTATTGAACTATTTTTCGCAAGACTCACGGCTGATTTGCTATCACCTTCGTCTCACGACCTTCTTTCTCGACTTTGCGTGCGTCATAATAACCAGCTGTTTCGCTAATTAAAATATCAATTAGACTTAATAAAGAGACGTGACTGCTCATAGTAAACACTGTCACTGGTGATAGGCACTGCATCGTTCATCGAATGAATGTAAAAGATTACCAATGAATTAGCATTCAGAAAATTTATCACCACTCGTAAAATGGAATCACATAGTTAAAAATGTCCTTAAATGATAGTTTAAGTTTCTATAATCTTTTCCTATTTACTGTGTGTGTTATTTACAAATAAATAGAACTGAATTTGAAACTTGCCAGTTTTCTAAATATGAATTAAGATATGAAAATGCTTTTCATGGGTATTGTATTTCATAATCTATAACTCATAGAAAATACTACACAATGTACAAATAACAAACGCTAAAACTCTTAAAATGTTTTTAAAAGTGCAGTAGCTAAAAGCCATTTGAAAAGGTAAAGACCTAGAAAGACTTGACTCAGAATATGGATAGCTTTGTGGCAAACAAATCAAATACGTACGTGCACCTATTTATACGCTCAAAATAGATATTTATTGTTTTTCTAGATAGCTATTTCTTTAACACAATCATAATGAAGCATTTCAATGGGTAATGCGTAGATACAAGAGTAATATTTATTTATATTACTCCTATTTATAAAAGTGGTAGTGTAGATTAGTTGACCATGTTTATTTACTTGTAAAAATAGTATTTGATATTAAAATTCGTCTTGAATGTTAAATGTTATTATAGAAAAAACAAATGGAAATCTGAATAATAATTATAGCTATTCAGGTATACAGGTTAAAAGTGATGTTTAGATGTTGTACGTGTTTATTTAGGGTAGGTTAACCTTTTTTATAAATGACTTCTTTCAGTTTAAGCACGATGGGTATTGAGCATTGTCGAAGATGCAAAAGCAAGATTGTGTTCAATTGGTTTTACAGTGTGGTGAAGGAAAAAGCCAAAGTAGATTTTCGAAGATCTGTGAGTTTTAGTCCTTAGTTGCCTGCTCTTTACTGCGTGTCGAGAAAGATGGCAGGTGGTCTCCCCATTTTATACACGATGCTCAATTACATCCAACATAAAAAATTCATACACAACTTTGGATTTTAAAACAGTGGGAACAGGATTTTTGAAAATTAAGTGATTTTTAATTTTAACACTATAAATACAAGACAATTTGTTATTTTTAACTGCTGACGAGAATATTGTCTTCTTTAAAAACTTACGAATGTTAGATGCAAAGGTCTTACCTTTCAATACATTGAACTAACGTTTAATGCTCATAAAGTAATTGTCTTAGTATATTCATCGAAATAATTTTCTCCTATCTCACCATGCATACATATCTCAAAGCCTCCATTTCCGACCTTACGTGTCATAACACCCACTAATTACAGTATCAATTAGACTTAAATAACGTGACTGCTCAGAATAGGCACCGGTGTTAAGCACAGCATTAAATAATTACCAGATAATTAGCATCTAAAAGAAACTATTTGTACGCACAGCATGTCTTCATTCAATTGAAAAGATATTCATGATTTTGGAAACTTCTAGATAGCTGTTCAGTAAAGAAATAAAGATGAACAGAGACGTTAGTGGCAAGTGGCTTATCGTGAAACTCTTCATGAAACTTACTTCATTTTATAACGCAAAGACCAGTAAAGAAGCGAAGTAAAATGCTCAAAATATTGATACTTTCAGCGTTAGTGGCATGGATCAATTAAATTAAGATATGCACTCATTTATATATCCAAAAATAAATTTTTATCGTTCTTTTTGTTATACAATCATAATAATTCATAAGAACGTGCAACGTGTCACTTGCATTTGAACAGGCCTTCGCTTACAAAATTTGAACTGAATTACAAGTGCATGTAATGCTACAATCTTTAGTAGAAAATTTGACTGTGTCTGTGCCGTGACAGCAACTAAGGTTATTAAACATTTAGTGTTATGGCCAGTAAATTTTTGGGACAGTCTAGCTGTTTTTGAACGTTAGAAAGTTGGCTTCTCTCAAAATAATTAAGTGTAAAATTTGGAAGCGCATCTTTTCACAATCTAAACTTTTACCTAACTTAAAACGCATATGCACACCATAGAATAATATTTTATATTATTCTACGGACTTTACTATATTTTATGGCGGCGTCCCTAATCATTTTATCTTAGTAATAGTTGTCAAGTTGCTAATTGAGCTAAATCACATACCAGACATAACATGAATTGCACTAGTTAATATAATACAATTCTAATTCAATACAAGAATGTACAATAAACTCTTTGTTATATCTTTTTGGCGGCAGGCTTATTAAGCAAAACAATATTTTAAAAGTTCTTTTTAAAGAAAACAAAAACTACACAACAAAAAAATTGCGTTACAAAATAGCTGTAGGCATAAACACGTACGAATCTGTAAAAATAAGTAGATAATAGAAAACGTTGTAATTGGCTGGTGCAAATCTATGCATTGCATATAAACGGCATTCCATCACCTACGTTCAGCAGACGAAACGACAGCTGTATGATATTCACAAGAATTAATAACTTGCTGACACTCACACTGTTTGTTCGATAAAATATGAGACTTTTTGTCTTGTTTCTTTTCTTTGCGTTGTTGCAAGTCGTCCAAGGATGGTGGTGGCATCACCGTCGTAGACGTAGACATCGCCGATGTTCTGCACAGCATTGCGTGGTCAGTTCTTGGTCGAGTTGGAGTTCTTGTAGTCATCAATGTGGAAATGCAGGTCTACAGACACGAACAAGAAGTAAGATTAGACATGAATCTTGTGGTGGAAGTTGTTCACATAGCTTTAGCCAAAGAAGGGCATGCAACAGATATTGCCCTAATGCAGGAACCCCGACCTATGGAAAATGTATCTGTAAAAAAGGTTGGAAAGGAACGTGCTGCACAACAGGTAGGTGTTACAAAATAGAAAAATTAAAACTAATTAAATTACTGGCATAAGATTACGTGGCTAATGTTAGCCATTTAGTTTTATTGAGTTCGTAGCAGTGAAATGTGAAATACCTGGAACGATAACTAGTATACAAAACCCAGTGATTGGATAAAGTTGCTTTGAAAAGGTTTCGCACTTCGTGTATGTCTCGCGTGCATTGCTACAACAAGCAGCGTTACACTGCTGCTTGTTGTGTCGATCAAAGCTTCGATTGAAAACAGCATGATTCGAAAAACGGGAAATTTTTAATGAGAAATTATATTTGTAACTGATGAATTAAGTAAGAAATTTATTTTAATTTGTATTCAGAGCCACGACAAACTTATTAAAACATAAATCTTTAAGTTATTTGCTGTATCGCAAGAAAATATACTCTGTCAAAATGGCTTCGACAAATTAATGATCCATTTGTCAACACAGAATTTGAAAAAAAAACAGCAAAAATTTATGTGATCTTCATAAATATTAATAAATGATTGAGAGAATGATTAATAATGAAATAAATTTGAGCATGTAAACGCATAGTGGCATCGTTTATCAACTTTTTTGTCTTAACACTTTTGATGGATGCTGTCAACCTTTATGTTCAAGAGAAGTTGTTGCCTTATGGTTTGCTGTTTTTCAAGTGAATTAATTGGTTATGCAGTTTTTGCTGAAAATTGTGGTTGATTTACTTATAAAGTCTGCATACCTTTCATGTACAGAAAGTGTTTTTTTTGTTGAAAATATTGCCTGCCGAATTGCCTGCGTATTTATGGAAAGCTGTATATGATCTGCCTTCATTCAGATACAAATCATCTCTAGTACCAGTTCCATATCAAAGTTATTTGACTTTAAAAATGTGAAAAAATCACAGAGTGAAATTTTAGTATGCAAAAAACATCTTAAACCTATCCTTGTGCAAGTGAACAAGGTAAATATAACAATTCAATGTTTGTACCAGATATCGAGCTTAAAACAGCCTTATAAAGGCGCTATATTTTAAGATCAATCACAGACTTTAAAAATTCAATTTTTTGTCACTCGGTTATCAATGAATGTTTTATGCAGTGCGGTGTTTGAAATTAAATGAGATATGATCTTCGCACTTAGCTGGACAATTTAAGCAATCGTCTCAGGACCTGAAAAAATCAGGTGACTCAACGGGATTCGAACCCATGATTCGGTTATCAATGGCGGCAATCATGAGTGGTTTCAAAGATAGCAGCCAAAATAACATTCCAGTTATTTTACAGTTCGATGGTTCAAAGTCATGACTTCATCCAAAACTTGCGTTCTCATTAGACCTCTGAGTTTAGTGATAGCTGTTTTGAACACTCTAAAAAATTTGAAAATTGCATTATGAAATTTTCAAGAGAAGATTTAGTGTTGAAGTAAATATTGCAGCTCAAATATTTCAATTCAGAGCTATGATAGTGAACGTTTATGTGAGGGAAAATGGTGACGTTAAGGAAATGCAAAGATTTTTACCGATTTTAATAAAAGTATAATACTACCTGATCTTTTTTCTCGACTAATAAGCAGAATAGTAAAACTAACTGTTTGTGTATTTTTTTAAAGATATCAATGAATGTACCCTTTCTACCCATAACTGTCACAAGAAAGCAACCTGTACCAATAAATTAGGATCATTTTCATGTAAATGTAATATTGGTTATTCGGGAAATGGAATTCTTTGCAAAGGTTAGTATTTTAAAGTCAGCCTTCCACAATGGTCTAATCATTTGATAGAATCGCAACAAAAGGCGAATTGTGAAAGTTAATCACAAGCCAAGTTTAATTTGCATTGAATTATTACAATGGCATTGCTGGTGTTTTAAAGTCATCTTTTGGCAAAACTCCATTGATTTGAAACAATCTACGTATTGTAAATATATTTATTATTGTTAGAAGTGTTGATGAATGTTCTCTTTCATTTGACAATTGTCATCCAAAGTTAAACTCGTCATCTAACCATAATTACAGTTTGAAACGTTTTCTGCCTAAAATTGTTGAAATTTGCGCAAATTTCTATGTGATTAAGCTTTTCAAATAAAAATCAAGTGGGCAAGTGATACAATACATTTTCACACCGACCAATACAGATATGACGTAAAATGAATTGCCCTGGTTTGCAAAAGGTTAAAAATAGTAAAGGCAAGAAACCTGAAGAAAACAATGTTTTAATGAAATTTTAAAGTAAAATAAATTTTAATAAGTTTTAAAAACATTATAAATATCATCCAATAATATTTTATATAGAACTTGTGCACGATGTAACCAGATTTTTTTAGTGGTTTTCTTGTCAAACTGTTAAGCTAATTTTACTTAATGTGCAAAGTTTTACAAGATTTTGATTTCTATTAATTTTTTCTGATTTCATGAAGCATGTGATAACATAATTAGATCTAAGCCACGTTAGCAGTAGCAAAGCCAACCCATTTTTTCGCCATCAATAACAACACGTGAATGGGAAAATGATTATATAGATAGTAGGAGTTTAGTTACAGTGTTACGTTAATTTGTTTGTCTCGGTATTATATCATCATTTGAAGCAAATAGCGGCATTTTGATCTAAATAATTGTCTTAGAAAATCAGGGTTTCATTAAGTACATCTTTCGTTCTTGGCTGTGATAATTAGGGATCAAACTCTTTGATAGCTGTACACTTAACTGTAATTTTTCTCTTCATTACAAACTTAAGGCAGTTGGCTAAAGTGCATGGGCATCTCTTGTGAGATGAAGGCAGAGATCTAGAGCTACAAATATATTTTGTAATCTCTTCAAACAAGTAGGCATATTAGAGATTTATCACAATTAAGGCTGCTTTCTCGACTATAATTATTTGCCCTAACCTGATAATCTTTTTATAGAGATAAAACCGTGCCAGCCAAATCCTTGTAAAAACAAGGGTATTTGTACAAAAAAAGGATATACATTCTCGTGTAAATGTGCTGATGGTTTTAAAGGCAAAACCTGTGAAGGTTTGCACATTTATGACTTCTTTTTTATAATATATAACAAAAGTGCTCTGACATGTGTATGAAAGATCTTATACTGCCATGACTACGTAATCAAACATTAAGTGTTATGTTAGTTTTGTATTTGCTTGGTCTTGCAAAGATTTCAAAGTGCTAAAGTTTTTGAGGTGATCACGAAACGTCAGTGTAAAGTATTGTGGATTGTTAACAGCATACTTATGCTGAAGTACATTAATGATTAACTTTTTCCATGAAACTATGTGGTTCAAATTCTAAATTTTTCTAAAAGGTCAGTTTTATTTTTGAAAAAAATTCAACAATACTTTGATAGACTTTTCCACTACTGCTGTTCATGATATTTAGGAATATTAAGTCCACCATCATGCTGGGGATTAAACGAATCAATTGATTTGCCTTTCTCTTCTAAAATATATTTTTCATTTTTAGTTGGAGTTTGTGATCATTCCCCTTGCAAAAATGGTGCCCAATGTCTTTTTGAAGGCAATTCATACAAATGTAACTGTCCTCCTAACTTCGTTGGATTTCACTGTGAAAAGGGTAAATATTTAAAGTAATGACGTGTTATGAGACTTTGAATAAAAGTTGCTTTATCTCAAGAGTTTTGACCACAGGTCATTAAATATTGAAAACAAAATGCAAACATGCGATGCACAGCGCATATAGCTTAAAATGAAGATCCACCATACTATTAATTGAAACTGAAAGCAAGAACTTTAGTACAATAATTATTAATGTTTTTTAAGCTAGTAGGTTTACTTTATTTAAACAAAAAAAAATTCTTCAGAACGTTAGTTCTATATTACTATAATTTTTACTAGTGATTAAAAATGCTGAAGTATATTATCATGCTTTTTTAAGAGCTTCCAAGTCCTTGCAAGCCAAATCCATGCAAAAATGGTGGACAATGCAACGTATTTGGCAAAATTTACACCTGTAAATGCAAGCCTAAGTTTGGCGGTAACAACTGTGAACATTCTGAAAGTAAGTATAAAGAAAAAACTTGATTTCCTTCTTACCTGATTTCAATAGCTTCAAATGAATCTGTTAGTTCAAATTATTTTCTTGACATTGGTTACCATGAATCAGATCTAAGCAGCACTCATTTCATTGAATCTAAAGTTATCATTTGGATCGTTCCATTGATGTAATAAATCAATTTTGTTTCGCTCTATTGTCTATTTTTGTTATTTGTTGATGCTGCTGAAATTTATAAAATAAACACTTTAATATGTGTGCGAAGATAAGTCATTGGTCGTCTTATGCATTAGACTGTGCAAACCAACCTTAGCTGAACCAATCAACTCAATCAATCAATCAATACCAATTTAAAAATTTTACGGAGTTAGATATAATTAAGCACGATGAAACTACTATGGATACACAGAGTAGTTTTGACAAATTAAAACCAGGCTCCAAAATGTGGAAACATGCAAATTTTGTCATTTTAATGAAATTTAATCGGAATAAAACAATACTCATTCCACCCACAATTTATCCATCATACCAATTTATTTTTACTTTTAGAAGAGATCAGAGTTTTTATTTTTTTTCAATAAGATGATCTTTTTCCCTTTACTTAGCGTCATGTTATGCTTCTGGTGATCCTCATTACACCTCATTTGATGGCAAAAGATTCGATTTCATGGGAGACTGTGAATACGTGTTTGCAAAAGACTGTAGCAAAGACAAACTTTTTGAAATCCGTACTAAAAACGTCATTTGTGGAAAGAGTGCTACCTGTACAGAATATGTCAGCATCATTATAGCTGGAAACTCAATTTTGATGACACGTCAGCGTGGTACAGCAGTTGTAAATAGGGTTAGGCTGTCAAAGTTCCCAATAATCCGTCCCGGTATGAGTTTTAACGTTATTTTATTCGTATTTGTTCATACGTCTTGACGCTGAGTGAATTAATGCTCATGATGGAGCTTATGAGTAGAACGGAATGGATAAAAAACATTGGTTTATTTTTTAATGCTTTAAATATTAATGTCTTTATTTAAGGATTCGAAATCACCAATCCCAGTAGGAGTTCGCTGATTGTTAAAACTCACATCGGAGTATCAGTGAGTTGGAACTTTTGGATGAATGTAAAGGTCACAGTTTCTGGTAAATACAAGGGAAAGTTATGCAACACATCTCTATGTGGCAACAACAATGGTGATAAAAATGACGACATTCACTACAGTAGAAAATGTGCTCCACCACCAGCAGTATGTATTCCTGATTCCAAAAAGAAAGCAGCGATGAATAAATGTCACTTGATGAGCGATATTAGCTCTCCGTTCTACCGTGCATGTAATCGATTTAGTAGCGCGGAAAATTTGATCAGTAATTGCAAATATGACGCATGTCGTTGTATTGATCCAATGAAATGTGTTTGTAACGCTTTTGCTGCTTACAGTAAACTTTGTGTTGAATATGGTGGTGTTCTTGACTGGAGATTCAATGGAACTTATTTGTATCCAAAACTAAAAGAATGTGGTAAGGATAACTCAATAAACTTACATTTTTTCCTTCTTTATTTTTCTTATTATGATACAAAGCACCAATTTAGCTTTTTAAAAATCAATCGATCAGTCATAAATCATAAATATATATGTGTTGTTTTTTCAATGCAGAGCAAACATGCAGCAACAAAGAAGAAATTTTCACAGAATGTGGATCTGCTTGTGCAAAAACATGTCGTGATATATCACGTGGTCTAAACTGCAGTGAAACCTGCATTCCCGGTTGTTATTGTCCCAAAGGATCTTACTTGGATGACAAGAATCATTGTGTTCCTGTGAAGAAATGCCCATGTTTCTTTGAAGGAAAGTATTATAAAGCTGGCGAAAATGTCAAAGTTGGACGATGTAAAACATGGTAGATATTTTTTTATTTTGATAAGAATGTTACATCATTGTATTATATCTATTTTTATTTTTTCTTCAGTACGTGTAATATGGGAGCTATGGCTTGTGTCAAAGATCGAAAATGCTCCACTATAGGTAAGAATAACATTAGCTTTTTAAAACTTAACATTTTAAGCATTGCAACGCAAAATGCATTGTCTAAAGGTATTCATTTGTTGTAAAATTTGATGTAAATAATTCAGTTATTATATATGTTTTTCAAAGTATAACAATATATAACAAAGTATAACAATGTATAACAAAGTATAACAATGTATAACAAAGTATAACAATGTATAACAATGAGCTGTTGGACTATTTAGCTTTTACATGTGGATATTGTAGTTGCACTATTTAGCTTTTACATGTGGATAAAGTTTGTTAAACACATCTCATCTTTTTTTCTTACTAAATGCTTGTGCGAAACCTTTCTAAATAACGCTATGAAATATTTATATATCTTTATAGGTCCTTGTGAGTCTTTCCCTTGTAAAAATGATGGTGCTTGTAGCGAGAATGGGAATAGTTTCATTTGTACTTGTACCAAAGAATATAAAGGAAAAACATGTGAAGGTTTGTTATTCATGAATCGTTGTCATCTTTGTAAAGATGACTTTCAAAAATGAAATATTGGTCATCACTAATATGCATGAATTTACTTTATTCAAAGGTCAAAACTATAAAATTATCAAATTACAAAATAAGTTGTTTTTCCTCTAAGTAAGCATGATCAATTAGAAACTCGGTTTGAGTCTTTTAATGCTTAATATGAAACAATTTCGATTACTCTGTTTGTAAATTGTGTTCACGATTAAAAACGTCATTGCAGACAGTTGCTAAGTTTACGCATGTTTTAATTAAATGTAAGAAAAATACTTTTGCCCTAATGTAATAATTTTGCTTTGCAGTTCCAGTACCAACACCGTGTGACTCGCGTCCTTGTAAAAATAACGGTATTTGTACAAACAACGGAAGTACATTTTCGTGCGAATGTGATTATGGTTTTGAAGGCAAAACGTGCGAAGGTTTGCTTAAAACTTGAATTTTTTAGTGATTTGTTCAAAAACACTTTGTCTGCGTATAAATTAGTCAAATAAGGATCTATTTATTATTATATAATAATTATAAAAAATGGAACTTGGTTTTAAAGTCACTGTAATTGGCACATATAGTATTTCATTAAAATATTTTGAACACGGATTATGATATTAAAAAAGGATCACATGACACGACTATCAGTTATGATAAAAACGACAGTTTTTTAAAGTATTTCGTCGCAAAGTTTTGTATAAATATTTTTTTACGTAGTTATGAATCCATGTGCAAAACAACCATGTAAAAATGACGGTGTTTGTAAAACGAATGGATCTTCTTATCAATGTGAATGTAAATTTGGTTTCAGAGGAAAGACTTGCCAATGTGAGTGTATTTGTACAATTTCATATCTCTTTTACTTTGTATTTTTCCTTCTGTAACCAGGTCGGATTAATCTCTGCGGAGTCATGGGCTCACGCACAATACATTTTATTACACGACGTTAATGGAGTTTGTTTAAACATGGCTTAATATACACACGGTTTTTCTATTTAGATATTGATGCTTGTACTAAAAATCCATGTAAGAATGGTGGTACTTGTACAAATGTTGGATCTTCTCATCAATGTAAATGTACATCTGATTTTACTGGAAAGATTTGTGAGGGTAAGCGTGTTTTGTAAATTTTTCCATCTGTCTCACCTTCCCTTGTTTTATTTTTTGCCGTAATTATGTTTCCTAACTGAGAGCGAATTTAGATTTTGAAATTTTTAATAACAAAAATGCATTAACATAAGCAAAACTCTATTCGTTGAACGACTGCTTTTTGTCAAATAAAACAGAGCGCATAACATTTTTCTTTCAAAGAGCACGCACCGTTTGTAGCTGCGACAGTTTTTTTTATTTCGTCGTTACTAGTATTAGAGGTTGCATATAGAGAAAATTCTAAGCAATAAATTAATGAAAACATAAAATGATTATTAACTTTGAATCCCCCCTCTTTGAATTCATCCCTATTTGGGGGTAGTTACATTTGCCTTCCTCAACCCAAAACCCATTTTGACTCTCTTAAAGATGATTACGTTGTTTGCTACGTTTTTCATGTAATGAGGAAGGAAAAATAGAAACAGAATTGAAATGAAAGCAAAGTTCGTTCCCAGTTGGAGTTAATTTTGATCAAAGGCTATCAAACACCTTGATTTCTTTTAAAAGTTTTACGTTGCTGTCCTAGCTGAGATATAGAAATATTTCACCATTTTTTTAATGATTTTTATCTTATTTTTAATAGTATATGACATAACTTTTTAACTTCACTGTGTAATCATACTTTCACTGTTAATAATGGAAGTTTATTTTCAACTTAAATAATCATATCGTAAGACCTGCCTGAAAATCACCTTGTTGTAAGTGTACTGAATACTGTAATAATAATAATAAAAATGCTGTATACTAGGACTGTTGATTTTCTAAGAGAAATAAATTATCTTTTTCATTTCAGTCAGTGCTCTACCTGTCTGCACTAATGCAGATTGGACGAAATCTTTTAACAAAAAGGGATGGTCAAAATGTCGTACCAAAAATAATTTTATCACTGGCTTATATCGCAGCAGATATACCAGAAGATTTGATAGAATTTCCGTCTAGAGCATGCAAAATGCTGCACATCTCATCCAAAATATACTGCACAAAAAGTATATGCGTAAATGGTAACTGGTGGAATTCTTTCAACAGGTTAGTAGCTAACTTTCCCAGAAAAAATTTTAGCTAGTTATTATATGTTAGATTATGAAGCACGTATATGCTAATGATGTTATGGTGAAAATGAACCAAGCAGTGATAGAAATCTCGGGGGCTGGAAATCTCGTCTTTTTTTTGAAAATATGGCAGAAATTTACAGAGTTGTGGAAAACAAATGAATGTAGCTACTGAAATTTAGAAAAAATGATGTTTGAAAATGAACAATACCACGGGCTATGCAATTCATACATAAATCTAATCATCTCCAATCTTTACTTTCATTTTATGTTTTGGCTGTTGTAAATTATAGCTAACCTCCATCGATCCTATTTTTTAGAGAAACAATCCATGAGAACAGCTGGGTAAAATAGTTTAGAGCTACAATTTTGGGGGTTTGCCATTGAATTCTCAAAGTTAGCACAGCCAGAAGTAATTTGTGAAATAATTTACAAATTCTACGCCCTGACCTCCCACCCAAGAACTAAATATCTGTCAGAAGTACAAAACGCAAAAAAATAGAAATTTAACGTGCATCGCAGAGTCGTGAATTGTTTTAACGGTTCAATTAGCTAATAAGTGCGTATACCTAATGGTTGCATGGGGTTTTATTAGTCATATCTATTGCGTTTTGTGCAATATTGTTCTTCTAATTAAATGAGATATGATCTTCGCACTTTGCTGGACAATTTAAGCAATCGTCTCAGGACCTGAAAAAATTCCGTTGAGTCACCTGATTTTTTCAGGTCCTGAGATCACCTGATTTTTTCAGGTCCTGAGTCATTTCTTTATGCAATGAATTTAATTGCACTTAGCAATGCAAATAATTCTACTCATAATGCATAAGCGCAAATTTTCGGGGGGATCTTTTTCACAGAATATTACATTTGTACATTTTAGACTTATGGTCTCAGAAAATATGATACAGCTATAGTCAGGGGTTGCTAATGCTATTTAAAATAACAAAAAAATTTCTGTGTGCCATCAATGCTCAATAAATAAGGTTATCCACTCATTTCTAGAAATATTGTATTTTAGAAAAGGCAAGTGGAGTGTTTGCCCAAAAGGCTATTTTCTAAATGGTCTCTATCGTTCTCGTGGTAACCGATTACGCAACATCGAGGCAGGAAAATGTTGCAAACCTGTGAATCATCCCAACAAATATGGTTCTTGTCATTATCAATATGTCAAATATAATTTAAACAAGAAAGGTTGGACGACATGTAATGGAAAGAAATTCTACATCACTGGGTTCAAAAGAGATTGTCGTGGCAGTTGGCTTCACGACATTGCTGTTTTCAAATGCTGTGAAATGTGGATTGGTAAGAATGACAAAGCGTCTTTCATTTTTATAATCATTTTTATATGAAAATAAATATTTTGACAATCTTTCTTTTTTTAGCTTGAAGCTCTTTAGCATCTCCTCAATTAATCGAAAGGAAAGTTTTGCTCTTAGGAAAAAAGCGTTAGCCGAAGTTGCCTACAGAAAGAATTTGTTTAGATACTTACTTAGCATATTGTTCAATAAAATTTTGCAGAAAAAAAGAATGTGTATATCTTTAATCTTTCATGCCACTGATCTCAGTGATTTCACTGATCTTCAGCTTTTCAGTATAATCGGCACATCACAAATTATCTGCATACATATAGCAATATAAGCTACTGAATTGCAACACTTTGTTACTGAAATATTTTGTTAGACTTTATCTGCATTCTGCAGTTGCATTTTAAAGTTCGTTTTAGTTCATCATAGAAGACCTTGGTCCGATATATCTCAGTAAAGACTGAGATAGCAAGGTTCTTAAAAGGTTTATTATATGGCATTGTTTAACATGACACGAAGCTTTCTTTCTTTCTCATCTTTGCTGTTCTGTACGGGTTGTTTTTCACTCTTCTAGTTTTGTCAGTAAAAAGAAATCGTTTCAAATTCTATAGTCTGGATAGTTGAACTGTTTTTCGAGTGTTTATCCTTCGACTCACATTCTTAAATGGTTTTTGTTTCATTTTCTTGCGCTTAGCGGTTTGCCTTACGAAGTTTGTTTACATGTGACTGTAAAATTACGCGTTTTAGACCATTACGGGAAAATAGTTGATCGGCAAAAAATGTTTTTGCACCAATCAAAGCACCATTTTTGCCGGAAGTGACGATTGCCATATAATAAATAGTTCATTTATGATGATTTTGAATGGATTGTTGATCATAATTGCATTAAAACCTGAAGCAAGTTTGCCTATGATGTAAATCTAGCACTGTTTCTTTTTCTTTTTTTCTGCAGTCCAAGTTTTGTTGAAACCAATAATGCACAAAATTTTGCCTTAATTAGTCATCTCGCTCAGAGTTGCTCATGCAATCAGCTTCTGATAAAATATATTCCTAGAACAAAGAATTGAGGTTGAAAAAATCGATAAATCATATTATATTTCGCAGAGCAATGAAAAACGTTTGGGTTTAGTGAAGATGTAGTAAAATGACATATTCAGAGCAAGTTAATCCGCTGGGAGACTAGAAATGTTATTAAAGTGATCTCATCTATGAAATGTGTGGGTGCAATAACTGTCAATCAGCAATTGCTATTCCTATTGGCGTTTTTTGAATCAGGGAGTGAACATAGCTTTGGCTTTTGGGGCTTTGTTTTCATTACTTAGCTTTTATTTTGGGCTTCGGTTTGCATTGGCTTCAGCTTCAGTTGAAGGAATGATTCCTCCTAAAATAAAGAACAACTTGTTCTATTTTCCTCTTAAATTTTAAGTAGCAGTACGGTAGCATCGTGAATGTTATCTGCAGTATGAAGATAAAGAATGTGTGATTTTAAAGTAACTGCGAAACACGGACAAACAAGAAACAAAGAGCAACAGTAGAAGGCAAACCAAGCAAATTTTCGTGTACCTATGACATTATAATCATTTTGAACAAATCAAGTGTAAGTGAGTGTTTAAAGGGAATTATATTCACCAATCAGAGGCCGCGAAACCGGGGGGCATTGGAGGCAAGTGCCCCCCCACTTTTTGCAACAGGGAAAAATGTGCCCTTTTTCTGGAATGAAAGTGCCCTTTTTCATGGTATAGAAATGCCCTTGTTTTAGGTAAAATTGGACTGAAGAAGTTTTTCTTAGATACAAGTAGCCCCGAGAGTAGAACAAAGTCTGTCGGCATCATGCGATATCAGCTATAGCTTAGTTTTTGATCTTGATTACCCAGATGGATAAAAAATCGCGTTTGTCGATTGGGGTTGTCCTCACAGACGTCCTCCCAGTAACTTAATTAACCAATGAGAAGTCGCAATTTATGATCCACATGAGACTATAAATTCTACGGCAACGCATTGCTCCCGTCGTATTGTCTTTCAGGCCATTGGTCCTACAAAACTGTTGACAATTCATAATCATAATAATTGAAAATTTTGCTGTTTAAATCACTTCTAATCAAAATCATCATGCCTACAGCTGCTAGACGAAAATGAGAAAACGAAAAAGAGCTTGTAGAAACAGCTAAAAGGATGCGAAAACTGACGAGTTTTTTTAGTAGTGCTCCTGTAGAGAACGTTGTTGACCAAAACATCGACTCTAGGTTCAATTTGACACTGCCGCCAGCTACAGAAACTCCATCAACGTGTTTATCTCCTCATTCTCACGAATCTGACTCTACATCGTCTTCAGAGATACTAGTCGCGCCGCCGACCGAACCAGTTCACACACCTTCTCAAAACCTAGCGTATACGTCTTTGCCAAGTTCCACGACTACCGCCCTATTGGTAGGACCTATGCAAATTGAGTCAACGGAATGTTTGCTAGGACTCGATTGTAAGCGTTTGTGCTGTACAGGCCGACAGCCTTACCATCCTACCCTAGAAGAAATAAAGCACACGTCTAGAAAGCAAACAGTACAGGAGGATCGTCGAATGTACGAAAAGAAAAGGCAAAGAAAACAACTGAATGGACCCCATGGGACAAGAAAAGAGGCAAGGGAAGACCAAAAAGGAGATGGAGAGGTGACATCGAGCAGAGAGCGGGCAGCATGTGCACCCAGAGAGCCCAAGACCGTGAAGAGTGGAGAAAGATGTGGAGGCCATCCGCCAGCAGTGGCGTGACAGGCTGATGACGATGATGATGATGATGACATGGGTCACATACTGCATGACAAAAGGCACCATTGCCTGTTACTTCTGTAAAAGAGCGATGCGTCAAGACCTTGTTACTTTCAGTCATAATGGTGAAAAGGCTTTTCTCCTAGGACAATTCAGCGACGTTTAATAGCTAAGGACGTTTAATAGCTAAGGACGTTTAATAGCTAAGGACTTTGTTCTCGAAAACGAAGGTAGGGTTATATTTTTTGGGAAATTTTAATGAGATCGCATTACTTAATAAAATTGTTCATGCATGTAGTCATCTTAGTTCAATTTGTTAGCACGCACGCCGAGCAGTAGAGAATACGCATAGCATTCTAAGAATGTCTACCAATATTTTGCAGACTTTGAAACTTAATCATGATTCATGAAACAATGCATATCTGTAGTATACTAAAACAATAAGCTGCAAACTCACATGCCTTTTTCGGTCAGTGCCCCCCATTTGAGATACTTACGCGGCCCCTGTCACCAATACATTGACGAACAGAAGAACTAGGTGGAAGAGAAATGTGTAAAAAAGCAAACAGAAAAACTGAAGTGGAGTTTTTGTTCATGATAAAATAGCGTGTGGAAAATTTAAAAGCCTATCATAAAGAACGCTTATATTTGTTGCCATTAAATACTTAGTCCGACCTTCAACTACCGTAACGCAGAGCTGGGTATGTGGGTCAGGGGAGGCCTTGACTTTTTATTATCTTTGAGTTGAATTGGATAAAATTCAGCATACAACATCTAGCTTATGAACTCGTGTGATTATGCCCCCTCCAACTTATCATTAGGCTTCTTGATGAAGGAACTTTTTTTAGGCCTGTTTTCTAACTTTTTATCAACCCAATGAACACACTGTTTTAAAGCGGAATCACGTCATAATTCCTTCCGTTAAAAACTTCGCGTTCGTTTAAGAATGTTTTTAGAGTATCTCTTAATGTTTATAATGATAGAATTTCCAAACAATACACAGTACATGTTATGTTGAAGCATTTTATTGCTGTTAACCGTCTCTCTTAAAAGCGTGAAAATTCGTGAAAAATCATGAAATTTAAAGAAATTTTATCTGCTGATCTTGTCAACAGATTGATAATTTATAGCAGATTGAATATTCTTTGTATTAAAAAGCAGTGAAATTTTTCAACGTCAGAAACACAATCAAATAGACTAAATCTATCAGGTTAATAAGCTTTTACTCCGAACATTAAACCCTTTAAATCAAATGAAGATGTCGTGATGAGCGAATCCAGTATAGTTTAAACGCAGGCCTTAAGGACATGATTGCTCGAAATAAACATTGATGATAGGTAACCATTTTATTCTTCTTTGAATGAATATAAAAGATTACCAGAGAAATCACCAAAGAAATGATCTGTACGTATAACATGCCTTCGTGTAAATCAAAATATCCTTAAACGGTAATTCAAGCTCTTTGTGTAGAATATCTATTCACAAAGATATCATTGAACAAAAAGAGGAATCAGAGGTGTTGTATAATGAGGTTTTTGAAAAATTTGTAGAAAAACCCAGGAGGCTGGCCTTTCTCTCTAAATGATGGGTATATTATGTGTTTTTATATTTGTTCATATGATGCATAGTATTTCATTGCGAACATTATGCATAACTTTAAAGAATAAAGCCATCCCTTTCTACCTGCCCCAATCTAAACAAGTGTAAACTAAAAAGTGGAATGTTAAGAACAATCTCTCCCTATGCATTTTAGGAAGTGTCGTATACTATGTTATTTTTTGTGCTGATCCAAATTTCTTCTGTTTATTCAGGGACAGTGATGAGTTTGATTCAATATGTTTTAGGGGACAATCGTCTTCTGCTTAATGTTTCTCTGCGCCGCCTTTACTACCTTTTTAACGAGTTGCAGTTTGGTCGACTGCCACATTAAGAATGCAGCTAATAAAAACGGGTTTTATAATTTATTATACAACAAATAATTCGCCCTTGAAGTCGTGGGAAATGCTGTTTCTAAGACTCTGGATTTCAAAGTTTTCCGGTGGAGCATGGTCGTGCCTCCGGCGCGACATGGCGGGAGTTACTAATTTTCCTGGCTACGCCACTGAAATCTATCTATTATTACTATAACGCGCGCACTTTTCTCCTTGAATTATTTTGCTTTTAAAACAATCATTTTTAAACAAAAGTAACTCTACATCAAAGAGAATATAAGCGTTGAAGCAATGCCATCAAACGAGTCTGCTAGCAGCAGAAAACGTTCGATAATCGTCCATCATCAAGGGACTTTTTGATAGCGTCGTAGCGATAGCGCTTCGCTTCGTCGCCACTTTACAAAACATAACATCGCATAGTTTAGCGTATTAAGATGCAGACCCGGATGAAAATTCAGTTGAAATAAATTCAGAATCGAAAGGAATACTGCAACAGACATCAAAACAAAGAAATGACGGAACAATAAGATTAAATTAGCGATAAGTATTTATGATTGGGTACATGGCCTTGTACTGTAACACATGTCAATGTCAAATGTCAAATTAAAATACCTTGCTATTTTACTGAATTTTGCTTATTGCTTATAATGCAGTAATTAGTTTTGTAATGTACTAAATTTCTAGTTTTACAACTTGAGCTGTTTAATGCATTAACAATAGCAATAACAGTATTTTTATGTTAATGAAACTCTTAGGTGCACTTGTCAAAGTTGCCATATTGAGTTGCTTGGTGCATTGGGTGTTGTTGCTGTAAAGAAATGCGACCAGTGATAAGAATGATGACTTTTGATGGCAGTGGAACGCATCAATTTCATCACTGAACATGATTTCGGACCCACGACCTTCTCAACAGTCGTGAATGTTGGCATATCTGAAGGACAGGAATGGACAACTTTATCAATGGTATGGATCCAAATTGGAATAGAGTGATCACGAACTAGAATCAAATGATCTTTGTCGCCTTCAAGCCATATATCATCACAACCTAATTGGCCTAAATCAAGTAAAACAAATTTCCAAATATCAGACATAATATAAACAACAGAATCGTGTCAAGCAATTTATTCCAAAGCCATCATCAGAGAATATATATGCACATGAAAGACCGTGTTAGGATTAATATATTATATATATTCTCTGATGATGGCTTTGGAATAAAGTCGAAACACGGTGTCATCTTGAAGGCTGTGACATCTGTTAAAAACGAATATTTGCCAATACTTTAAATACTTACAGAAATCTCATAAAATAGAAAAATCTACGACTTAAACAATACAATTAATGAAATAAAATATTGGTTCTGCAATTAGAAAATTTCATTTTCACAAAGAAAATATAAGCCCGTTTTTTGCAAGTTTTAAAAGTTCACTATCCAGTGGATAACACTATCCAGTCTTCGTGCAATTGCAGCCCCAGAATAATCAGCTAAGAGATAAAAATATTACTAAAGTGACGTCATCGTTGACAAACGTGGGTGCTGTAACATCAAACAATCAGCCATTGCACAATTGTTTTCTTCTTCTAATAGGTCTTCGTCGTAAACATATTG